AAGTGACAGGTCTGCGGTGGCGGTCGGCGTTGCGTTTAGCGATGATGTTCGATTTTTTTATTGCTTCTGCTGCCCTGGTCCGTGCTGCTTGCAAAATCTCGGCAAATTGTTGCGCACGTGGAACGGGGTTGTCGGGATTTGGGGTCATGGGTACTGTGGGGTCTTGTCCGTAATTCAGGTGAAACGACGACTGTTGGGTCGTGGCAGATGGCGCGTTGTTGTATGCGAATTCGATGAGTGGCAGCTGCTGCTCCCACGTGTTTGGGTCATCGCACGTGGCCCTAATGAGCTGCTCCATGGTCTGGTTTGTCCGTTCTGTCTGTCCGTCGGTTTCGGGGTGATACGATGAACTGAATTGTAGTCGCGTGCCGAACTGCTGCCACAGGTTCCGCCAAAAATTGCTGGTAAACTTCGTGTCTCTGTCGCTGATGATCGATGCTGGTATCCCGTGCAGTCGAACGACGGTGGTGATGAAGAGTCGGGCTGTTTCCTCGGCTGTGATTGTTTTCTTGCAGGCTGCGAAATGTGCCATTTTCGTCAGACGATCAACGACGACCAGGATCGCGTCATTCCCACTCGCCCCGGCTGGTAGCCCCGTGACGAAGTCCATCGTCACTTGTTGACAAGCACGCTCTGGAGGTGGGATTGGTTGTAATTGTCCCGCCGGCCGCTTCCTGGTTGACTTCATGAGCTGGCAAGTGGGACACGATGCCACGTGTCGTTGCACGTCGGTCAACATTTCAGGCCAGTAATAGTACCGCTGCAGCTGCTGCCGTGTTTTCTCTACTCCGAAATGTCCCGAGGTAACTCCGTCGTGTGCCTCCTGTAACAGTAATTCCCGTAGTAGTGTGTACCCTGGTACCCAGATGTGGTCGGTTCCAGCTTTTACGTAATAGACTCCCTTGGCTGCTGCGAATTGCTGCGAGTTTCCTCCTGTGAAGAATGGGTCTGTTTGATATCCGTGGGTAAATAGTCCTGACAGTAGCGGACTGGTCTGGGCGAGTAGTATCGCATGGATCTGGGCAGTGGGGCGGGTCAGTGCATCGGCGATATTGGAGGCTCCTTTTTTATAGGTGACTGTATAATGGAAGTTCGACTCGAGGAAGTCGAGCCACCGAATCTGTCGGGGGTTGAGGTGGGGCTGTGCACGGAGGTACTGTAGGGATCGATGGTCTGTCCGTACTGTCACGTCTGCGCCGGTCAAGTAGCAGCGCCACACTTTGAATGCATGCACGATCGCGAGCATTTCGCGGTCGTGTACCGGGTAATTTCGCTCAGGCGGATGCAGTTTGCGTGATTCGTAGGCGATGGGTTGGAGGCCGTTGCCAAAGTCCTGTAACAGTACGGCTCCGATGGCGATGTCGCTCACGTCTGTAACAACCTCGAAGGGGCGATGTGGGTCAGCGATGCGTAGGACGGGTGGTGAACAGAGAACAGTTTTCAGGGCAGAGAAGGCAGCATGCTCTTTCTCCCCCCACGTAAAAACGACCCCCTTACGCAGTAAATCTGTGAGTGGTGTTGTTAAGCGTGCCATGTCGGGGACGAACCGACGGACGTAATTAACGAACCCTAAAAAACTCTGCAGTTCCGTGATGTTCGTCGGGGGACGCCACGCGTTGACAGTATCCAGCTTCTTAGCGTCGATTTCAACTCCAGCCTCCGAAATAACGTGTCCTAAGAATTCTAGCCTGTCCCGAAAAAACTCGCACTTGGAGCCCTTGGTGAGTAACCGATGTTCCGCTAAAATTTTAAAAACTGCTTCGAGATCGACTAAGTGCTGCTGCTTGTCCCGACTGTAAACAAGAATGTCGTCAAGGTAAACTATCACGCATTTATCTAAAAGTAGCCTAAACGCCTCGTTCATGGTCATTTGAAATGTGGCGGGCGCTTTGGTCAGTCCGAAAGGTATCACCGTATACTCGAATGACCCGTACCTAGTTCTAAATGCTGTATTGGCGCAGTCCGATGGTTCGACCCGAATCTGATGGTAACCTCCTCGTAAGTCTATTTTCGAAAATACCCGTGCGGTTCGTAACTGGTCGATCAGTTCGTCGGCGCGGGGGATGGGGTACCGTGATTTGACTGTTACCCTGTTAAGCGCTCGGTAGTCGATGCACATGCGAAACCCTCCGTCTTTTTTTGGTGTGAACAGTATCGGTGCGGCGAACGGTGACGAGCTCGGTCGGATAAACTGCTTCTCTAACATATAATCTAACTGCTTCCTTAGTTCGTCGAGCTCGGGCTGTGTCAGTCTGAACAGGCGCTGTACAGTTGGCTGTGCCCCCGGTTCTAACTCGATCCTATGGTCATGCGCCCGCTGAGGTGGCAGCCCTTGTGGTAAGTCATCCGGAAAGATACCCGGGAATCGTTTCAGTAGTGCCTGAAGTTCGAGTGGTACAGCTGCCAATAGTTTCTGAAAATCGCTCGGCAGCTCCTCTTCTTGCACTAATGCTATATCCACTGCGTACACGTCAGCTCCAGCAGCGACAGCCCGTTTCATCGTGATGGCGTTGACCTGGACCGTCGAAGACTCGGGTGGCTGCCTGCGAGGTAGGACGACCCAGTTACCACTATTTCGTACTGTGCAGCTACCCGTCGTCCAGTCAATTCGCGGGTTATACCGTCGCAGCCAATCACGTCCTAGTAAAATGTCGTGCCCATCCAGTGTCGTTGCGAGCATTTCCTGTGTAAACCCGAAGTTTCCTCCGCAGCGGACTTTTACTCGCTCCACCTTTTCCCGTATGGCTAGTGGCGTTCCGTCGACTAAGCGTGCATCTATCCCAGGTAAGCATCGGTTAAGTGTTAGCTGTAATTTTCGTGCGGTTGCGGTATTAACTAAGCTGTGACTTGCTCCCCCGTCAATAAAAATCTTCACTGCTGCTCCATGTATTTTCCCGTAGATCAGTACTGGGCAATCCGTCGCTGTACCCTCCTTATTCATCCGAGCCCGATCGATGGCGTGAATCGGTACTGTGACTCGGTGAGGGTCGGAGTGGTTGGGCGAGCAGGCAGTCTCGTCAGTAGTTGGCCCAACTTCTACAAACTGCTGGCGTTTCTTTGCCTCTGAGACTCCCTCCCCTGCTCTGCTCCTCGGCGCCTCAGCTCCTCTGGGCATTCGCTCTTGCGATGGCCCGGCCTATTGCAAGCAAAGCAGCGCCCTTTAAACGGTGCGGCAGCTGCATTTGTTGCAACGGCGTGTACAGTGGCGTGCTCGGTCAGTCCCCGAGGGCGATGTCCGTAATAGGACCCCGGTCTCGGTCGGCATAGAATGTCGATCTTCTCGGCGAGCGCGAGAATCTCTTTAAAATTAGAGAGTCCGCGCAGCATTATTTCGTGCGAGATATCCGGCTTCAGCCCTCCGACATAACGGTCCACCCGCTCCGCTTCGTGCATGTAGCGGACCTGCTCACAAAGTGCGAGAAAACGGCTTGTATAATCTTGAACTGACCCGAGCTGGCGCCAAGTGCGCAATCTCTGACGCGCCGAAATTGAAGCCGCGATCGGCTCAAAACGCGCCCGAAGCCCTGCGCACCACGCATCCCACGTGCTGTATTGGGCGGTCTCACAGAACGAACTCCACGTGACAGCTGGACCCGTGGGCCCTTCCTCGTGCGACGGTGGCTCGTAGGCGCGTGGCGACGTCACGATGACTCGCCACCAGTCCATGGCGGGGCCCCTTAGCAGTGAAACTGCATACCGGATCTTCGCGGCGTCCGACTCGACGTAATTTGCGTTGAAGAAGACGTTCATCGTGAAGACCCACGATTGAACCGTCGGACCGCCGCGTTGGCTTGGGTCGAAGCAGGGCGGGCGTTGCGGCTTGAGCGGCATTGGTGCCATGATGGCTTGTTCGCCACTTGTCGCCGCAAATTCCACGTGCCGACGGGCTTCTCGGGGCTCCCGCGGGCTTGGTGCGATCCTGTTTCCTCCCATGCCAGGCATCGGCTGGGCGGCGCCATTACTGGTTGTGCCTGAGCGTTGTCCCATGCTGTCGTGTTGTGTTGGTGTGCCGGACGAGATGACGATCGGTTCATCTGAATGTGCCGATACATTTGTTGGTGTGTGTGATGTCGTCGGAACGTTCACCGTGGACTGTTGACGGGCGGAGTCACGTTTCGCCGTGAGCGTCGCGATTTCGAGCGCTGAATCTTCCAGTTGACGCACGAGACGATCAAGTTGCTCCTGCGTTAATGTGGCGAGCGTGAAATCGGCCATGGCGGGGGTGTCGGGCAAGCTCAGCGAGAGCCTCGGTCGTGGCCGTGCGTGCTTGCGAGATAGCACTATGAGCGGCGGTGCTGTATCGCTGAGAGACGTCTACCCCCCCCAAAAAAATTGAGATAGTGGGGAAGCGAAGGTGTGGATGCGGTCCGAGCTGAGATCGTAGGCTCTGATAACCAAGTGTTACGAGTGCAATTGAGTGAACGAACGAGAATTGCACTATCGAAGCAAGAATACAATGAGCGAGGGCGTGAGCGAAGAATATATAGCGAAACTACAGTGGTAACGGTAATGGTCTGTGGTAGTCGCGCGATGAGCCTGGGACTGAGGTTGGGAAAGTGTCGAGGCGTAGGCCTGGAGCGCGGGTTACCAGCCGAGCCGTGAGGTCGGGATGCGATGTGCGAAAAATGGCGGGATGATTGTCGATGCGATGATCGCGAGTGGTAACGGTGCTGACTGAGGTGCTACAGTGATGTACGCGTTGAGCAGGGATGCGAAGTAAGGAAAAGGGATTTTCCTTACAATGGGCAACATCACACACACACCGACGGATACGGTACATGTGCCATGTCCATTGTGGACCAGGTGTGGAGGAAGTTCGTACCTCAGTGAAGTGTATGACGTCGTTACAACACAAGAGCAGCAACCCGTGATCACTGATAACATGTGGGTATGACCGCGTCTCGTGTAATAAATAGCACATGACAGAATCGTACAAGATGGTATAGGTAATAGGGACATCATACACTGAGAGACATTGCCCATATGCACAGTGCACACACTCAGGAAACAACAACCTTGGCCTTCATCTTACGGGCGCAGTGATTCCCCACTGCACACCCAAAATAAAGGGTGGTTCCCTTCTGAATATTCTTCACAGGGTAGAAATAGTGGGCCCCAAAAATGCCAGTCTTGGGGTATAGCTGAGTCGCTAAGGTGAAATCGCAATTGTCATACGCAATCTTTGCAGGGAATTGCCACACGTCGTGCTCCCCCAACCACTTGAACACTGCCAACATCCCAAGAGGATACCACCCAAGTGTTAGGAGTTACAAGCAAAACAAATCTACACACATTTACAGAAATGGTAGGTACACATGCAGCATTCTGAACTAAGCATGGAGAATATGGAGGACACCTACACAGAAGCCAGTCACTCACAAAGCTGGTCGCCCGGTTGGACTGTCCTAAATGGCTTCCATCCAGAAATTCCATACCGCCAGGGAGTAAAAATACCATAGCCCACTATGATGGTCTTTGCCTGGTAAAGAGAATGTAACGACGAGAGGGGAAGGTTGGGGAATTGTACCGTATGAGAGCTTTGTATTTTCTTTTCTGAAAGGTGCGCATGCAGCATTGAATTTGCCAGAAAAAACGATTGCAGCAAGATTGTTGAGGAGACCAGGAACGAATTTCAGATGATGTTGGCGGGAATGCGGATGGCCGTGGTGTAGTACCTCAGCCAATGCCGCGCCTGCAAACGTCAAGAGGCCAATGGGAGAGCAGGAAAGAGGTATGATTAGGACCGGGCGAGTGTGGAGGAGGCGTTTCAAACGATGTTATAAGTTGTAGAAATTGTGAAACAGCGTCCACCACGTTGTTTTTCGCATTTCGCAGCAAAACGAAGGCAAGAATCATCGTGTAACCTTACTCGAGAGTAAGACGGCGAGCAGCACCCATCCGAAAGCGATAGTATTCGGAGACCTGCCGGGAGACATCTTCATCGCCATGCCACCGTGAGTGAAAATATGCGCTAAAATGGAAGGTATACCTGCCGAATGCTGGTAAAGCTCAGCCGCCAAGAGTTGCAGAAGGAAACCAATTTGCGTAGACTGAATTCAACGCGGCGACCTCCTGATTTACTTGTGAAAGTGACGCGAAGGTGTTATATATAGTACTGGTGAGTAGGCGCTTTCTGGCGCGATGTTTTCTTTCTTGCCCGGCGCCATATCGAGTGAGATGACGTGTCCATCAGGGTGTGGTCTGCGTTAGGAGCAACAGGCGAAGCCGTCGAGGCCTTGCCGACCTACCTGAGTGGTTCAGTCATCCAGGCGCGCTGCAAGGGGCTGCCTTAAACTCGAGTCAAGTTAGTTGTAGGTCGGTATAGGCGTTGGTAGGAGGCTGTAATTTTGTCGGTGCTAGGTGTGTCAATGTCGGCATGAGATGGGATGAAATGAAATTGGCAGGGACGAGGACGTGTTCGAAGAGTTCACTTCATTACGGTGAGATGCGAGTCTGTGCGAGTCAAAACGGCTCTTTCCTACATCGCTACGTTTATGTGAGGTTCGAGAGGTCACCAACACTTGCACCACGCCCTTGCTGTAAATGCAGATTGGTGCGGTATTGTGTGATGGGGTGGGGTATGTGGGTGCGGTTGTAGAGGCTGGCAGGCTGCAAATGCACATTTTGGAATTTGGTGGAAAGGATGCGCGGCTCGCAGGGAGTTGACGTGGCGCGTATGTGCAGACGACACTTGGCGAACAAGCGTATACGCTTTACCAGCTGTATCACTGTATATCGTGTAGCAATTGGGAGGTTTTACTACAAGCTAAGAGAGTATTGAACATATACACTGCGTAAGAATGTCACGAATTTGTATTCGTTTTTACACGTACAATGAACCAATCGCTTGGGCATGTAGCCCCACTTTCACTGTCACGGTACTAGAACGAAGGGGAGTTGATTTAAAAGGAATGTTGGGCGAGCTCCCACAAACGAGGGAACCGACATATTCTCAAGATGCGCCTGGCGAAGGACAGCACGACCAATAACAACGCAGCACAACTTTGTCAAGGTTGGTTGTTGCGACGCTTTCTTCTCACTTCACCACGCTGTGCGACGTCGCATCGTATGCCCTCCACGACTTCCTTCCCTGAAGTCGTGCGAGCCAGCAAGCCTGCACAGCAAGCAGGTGCCCCCTGGAATGAATCGTGAGCAGGAATGCTGGGCAGTTAGAATCACCTGGTCATGTCGTGAAACTATTAGTACCACTCTGTAACACTAAAATACGCGATAAACCACTGCACAGAGCTCTGAAGCTTCTGGAAAGACAAAGACCGTGAACCACAGTAAACGACAGTGCTCCAGGCCGCGACAAGTGTAATTGCAAGGGCTCTTTGGATAAGGGCTGAATATGGTGTTGTAAGATAATGTGAGATACAGTACGGTCTCTATGTCACGGAGGCTTGAAGGCGAATAGCCCAACACCACGCACCCACCATTCCACCAGCGACCTTGATACTGTAGTGTCATTTGTGACTCGCGTCAAGGGTGTCATTTCAGCATGTAAGCGCCATTCCACATCCATTCCTACCAGGACCTCCTTACGTAGCTCTGCAGTGCTCGATTACCTGCCGTCTGGTACGAGAAAAACACGAATGGCACACACGGCCGGCTCGTTTCCTCGCTGATCGAACCCAAAGCCACTCTAACAGCGCTTATTGGCCATTCTGTTCCTCTGCTCATGCCGGGTAGAGTATTCTATGCAATACTGTATCTTCGAGGTCACCGTAGACTGGGACTGGGTCGAAGGTTCCTGCTGGTGTTACACCCGTTCGACTCCGACTGAAACAGGAGGTCCTCTGTCTATTCCCATCCAAGCCTTCGTGATTTTTTTTCCACTTTTTTCTTTCAGCATTGGAAATAAAACCTGTAGCGTAGGTACTATATCGCCGAGCCGTGGGGTATTACTCTTCTTCGATCCATATCTCACACCGTCTTCAGTCCGTGCGCCCTTCGTGCGATGGCGTCGTCCATGTCGCTCACCGACATCGCAGCCTTCGCAGCGTCGTCGCTCGTCGAGTTCGCAGAAGTCATCGTCATCGCCGTCGCCACGTCGGTCCCCGTCGCTGGCCTCTGTATAGGCGTCCCCGTCGTCCGCATAATCACCGCGTGCCTGCGCGGGCAGCGTACGCGTTTTAAGTACATTCGCTGGTGGCTAACGTGCGCCGTGTCGCTCCTGCTGCTCGTGAATCTCCTATTTCTGTCGGTCGGAATCGGCGCGCTTTGGCTGCAGATGCCGCCTGATCCGGCCGCCATGTCCAAGGGCACGTGCCGCGTCGTTTCCGCAGGTGAGAATAGTGATAATTATTGCTCGAACCCAAATGTCATTCATTTGTTTCCATTCCCCCCCTTCTCCCCGCTCCACATCCCCCTTATCCCTCCCCCATGACCTCTAGGCATTTTCCCGCTTTCGCCATTTCCTAATCTTGCGACTACCCGATTTTCACAATGTCCTGATTTCGCCAGGGGTGGATCTGCGATCCGTCAAGCTGTGCACTGTCAACGACACCTCCTCCTCGTCATCGTTGCCAACCTGGTTACCATCTTCGCCACACACGTTGCAAGCCCCATCGCAAGCCTCACCACACCCCGCCTCTCGTCCGTTCGCCTCCTCCTCCCCTTACGCCACGCCTTCCCCTCCTCCTTCCTCCTCCCCCAACCACCACTCGTCCGCCCACTCCTCCCCACCCGCCTGTCACGCCTCCTCCCCTTTTTCCTGCCCCTCAGCCTCCGCCTCCGCTTCCCACCCCGCCTCCCCTTCCCCCTCCGCCTCCGCCTCCCCTCCCGCCAACCTCCCCTCCGCCCTCGCGTCCCTCTCCGCGTCGCTCCTCGCGCTCCTCCCGCAACCGCTGCTCTCCGCGCTGCCGCTCTCCCCCTCCGCCACGCGCTGCCACTTCACCTACTACTGGGCGGCTCTCATCCAGCTCGACCTCAACGTCTCCTTCCACTCGCCGTCCAACACGTGGCGCTCGCTGCGTCAGCACAGGCGCCAGAAAAGTCAACGCGGTCAACACGGTCAAGCGAGTCAACGCAGTCAACGAAGTCAAAGCGGTCAAGTGGAGCAAGGGGAGGAATGGGAGGAAGGGGATCAGCAAGGGAGCTTTACAACGATCCGAACCACAACGGCTCTCCCCGACCCGCTGTCCCTGTCGCTGCCGTCCTCCCAGTGCCGCCCGGACTTCAATGCCGCGTGGCGGGCCAAAGACAAGTACAAGGTGCGCCCCCCCTGCTGCTGCCACTCCCCCTGCCGCTGCTATCGCCCGTCTTCTTCCCCATTCGTCCCCCACTTTAACCCCAACTTGCCCTCTCTCCCATGCTCCCCCTTCCCCCCGTCCACCCCCAAGTGGCATCGCTGCACAAGTGCCTGTACGACCCGCGCCAACCGCACAGGGTGCACCTCCTTCCTGTTGTTAATCCCATTCCCCTTTTTCCCCCTCACGACCCCTCTCCCCCCCCCCCCCCCAACCCCCCTAGCCCACCCCCCGTCGTCCCTCCTTCCCCCTCCAGGTGGCCTCACTGCACAAGGGCCTGTACGACCCGCGTCACCCCCACAGGGCGCACCTGCTTCTTCCCCTTACCCTCCACCCCCCTCTTGCGCTTCTTCCCTCCCCTACCTCCATTCCTCCAGGTGGCATCGCTGCACAAATGCCTGTACGACCCTCGCCACCCCCACAGGGTGCATCTCCCCCCTCCGCGCTCCATGCGTCACTGCCCGCCCCCCCCGCGCCAGGGCATTTTCATGCACCTCGCTGCTACAGCCATCACCAAGTGGTGAGTTTGGAGGTCGGATTGATAAGGTTCCAGGTGGTTAAGGGGTTTCTTGGGCTTGCAGGGTGTCCTGCCCGCCTCCCCCGCGCCAGGGCATTTTCATGCACCTCGCTGCTGCCGCCGTCACGAACTGGTGAGCGTTTTAGAGCTTATAGGGCCCTGTCTGTAGAGCACTATGTATGACCCCCACAGGGTGAACTTGTCTGTAAATAACCTGGGGAGATGGAAGGAGAGAGGAAGAGACAGGACATGGACGAAAGAAGAGGGAGGCAGCAGCAGCAGCAGCAGCAGCAGCAGCAGCAAGGCGCATGAGTCGAGTCAAGATTATTTACAGACAAGTTGCTATTCAAACCGTCATAATTAGTGGGAAAGCTCTATCTGGAGCTCAGCTCTTCACCGGCCCTCCCTAACGTACCGGCTCTCATTTCCCCATCCCTTGTCCCCCTCCCCGCACCAGGTTGTTTTCAGACGAGTCCATATTCCAGCCGGCTTCTTCAGTGGGCAAGCTCTGTCTGGGTCTCAGCCCTTCATGGGCCCTCCCTACTATGCCCAGACCCCTCATTCTCTCTCATGCACCCATCCCCTGCCCCTGACTCTCTGTCCCCGCAGGTTCTTATCAGACGAGTCCATATTCCAGCCGTCCTCCTCGGTGGGCAAGCTCTATCTGGGTCTCAGCCTGGGCGTGCTGCTGGGAGTGCTGTGCTGCGTGGGCACGCATGTCTTTGGTCGCATCGTCGTGGCTCTCGACTGCTTCCAACCCCCAGTTTCCTCCCTTTTCGTCTCTGCGATTGAGGTAGGCTGCTGCTTATTGAAGCGTCATGTGCCTGTTGCTGCTGGGTGTGCCCCTGCTCTTTCCCGCCTCCTCGTGCTGCTGGGTGTGCTCTGCTGTATCAGCACGCATGTCTTTGGTCGCATGTCTTTCCCTCCAACCACGAGTTGGTTGGCAGCATCATCATGGCTTGACTGCTTCCAACCAACTGCCCTCATCCTCCTTTTTTTTTTCCTTTTTTGTCTTTTTTTTTCCGTGATCTTAGAGAGACACTTGCAGGCGGCTGACGCATGCACTCATGTGACCCATCCCCTCACACACTCATACTCGTGCCATGCATCCCCTCACACACTCATACTCGTGCCATGCATCCCCTCACACACTCATACTCGTGCCATGCATCCCCTCACACACTCTTACTCGTGCCATGCATCCCCTCACACACTCTTACTCGTGCCATGCATCCCCTCACACACTCTTACTCGTGCCATGCATCCCCTCACACACTCTTACTCGTGCCATGCATCCCCTCACACACTCATACTCGTGCCATGCATCCCCTCACACACTCATACTCGTGCCATGCATCCCCTCACACACTCATACTCGTGCCATGCATCCCCTCACACACTCTTACTCGTGCCATGCATCCCCTCACACACTCTTACTCGTGCCATGCATCCCCTCACACACTCATACTCATGCCATGCATCCCCTTCGTCTGCCCCCTTGCCCAGGTGAGCCGTGGGCTGCGCATCACTCTAGTCGGGAGATACCACTCAGCAATAAGCGAGGAGGGTAGGGAAAGTCGGAGAGACAGAGGGAGCAGCACCAGCAGCACCAGCTGCAGCAGTGGCAGCAGGGACAAGGACACAGACAGGGATAGCAGCAGCAGCACCGCCAGCAACACCGCTAGCAGTAACACCAGCAGCAGCAGAAGCAGCTTGCTACACACGCACAGGTCCCTGACCCAGTCACTTGAAAAGATCCTGGGCTTTTGTGGCTCTTCGACTGCTTCTGGGACCCAGTTTCTCTCCAACCACTCTCCAGACATTCACCACCCGTCCAACTTGCTCCATTCAGTGGGATCAGGGTCTCTCTCAAGCTCTCTCTCAAGCTCTCTCTCAGGCTCTCTCTCTGATGACCTGGAGGATCTCGATCTTTCTGAGAGCATTCTCAGCTGCTTCTGCCCCTCGCTGGTTGACAGCCCTTTTCTGGCAAAGAAGCTCCCTGAGAATTCACCTGAGAGGTCACCTGATCGCTACCGCAAGGGGGATTTGTGCCGATTGAGTGGTCTGGGCCGACCTGTAGCAGCGGGGGCGGAGGATGTTGAGCCGCTTTCCCTGCACCAGCAGGAGGAACAATCCCAGGCAGAGGCAGAGGCAGAGGCAGAGGCAGAGGCAGAGGCAGAGGCAGAGGCAGAGGCAGGGGCACTGGCTACACAGGCAGAGGCAGAGGTAGATGCAGAGGCAGAGGAGGAAGCAGGGGGACAGGAACGATCGCGGAATACACAGGGTCTGCCGGTCAATGCCTCACAAGCGCAGCCGTTCCTGCGCTCAGAAGAAGAGAGCGGTGGGCTGGTTGTGCCTCAAGAACAGACCTTGCCTCAAGAGCAGTCCGTGGGTTATCAGCAAGGAAGCTGTTTGAGTCTAACTGTGTGCTGTGAGGTATCGGGTGTGGAGGGCGATGGAGGTGGTGCTGTCACAGCAGCAGCAAGTTCGGCGGCAGGTTTGGCAGCAGGTCCGGGAGTAGGTCCAGGTTTGGCAACAGCTCTGGCACCAGGGCTGGCTGCAGCTCCAGCGGTGGCTCCTCCAGGTTCAGAGGGTTTGGCTGATAGGGACCAGCAAGTGGCAGCAGTGCCACCACTACCACTCACACCTGCAGCAGCAACAGAGCCATCAGCCTTGATATCATCATCAGCATCATCAGGATTATCGTCCTTAGCAGCCATGCCAGCACTCTCGACTCCTCTGTCAGTAGAAGCTGGGGCTTCAGGGTCAGCATTGTCGTCACCGCGAGCGGTAACCGTGCCTGCGCAACCACAGCAACGCTCGAAGCCTCTTTCGCCCCGGAGTAGACGATACCCATCACCCACTTTCCTACTCCAGGCGCGCGCGCAAGCCTTGTGTTACATCGCGATAACGTGCGCAGTTGTTGGGCTCCTGGGCATTCTTCATGATACTGGATTAGTGCCATTTCTAGATCCTTCTGGCGCCCCTGTGTTTCTTCAAGGGATTAATTCCTTGCTTCAGCAAGGGGGCTTGCCCTATGCCTCTGCAGCAGCTTTTGATGGCTCCTCCGATGCTGACCGCTCTTCAGTATACCGCGACCACCGGCCTTTAATGTGAAATAATGTGCATCTGTGCATGATATACACATTAGACATCTTTCTGTACATGTATATTAGCATGGTCTGATTTGCAAGGCTTCTAATATATGGCATATATGTGCATATTGCACAATCATTATGATGTTTGAATGTATTATTGTTGCCGCGTCTCGGACTCGCCTCACGGTTGTAGGTTTGTTTTAGCAAACGTGAAGCCTGGTGGCTTCATTGGGTTCAGTGACTCGGTTCGGTGGTCCCCGCTGAGTCAGCGAAACGGCTCTCCTCCAGACCGAATCGCCCACGTGGTCCCTGAACCCACCCACCTTCGCTCTCATTGGTCCGCTCGAGCTTTTGAAACCGCGTCATGCTGTCGGGCCTGGCGCGGAGCGGAGCTCACGAAGATCTTGCGGAGCACGCTTCCGCAACCTTCGCCTGGCCACACAGCCAGCTTCCTTCTTCGAGACGTTTCTTCTTTGGGGTTTCATCCATGAGAGGTTTGGCTCGGCAGAGCACGCCACAGCGCAACACCTTTCCCGAGGGACAATGTTATATGGTGTTGTTGGAAGTATAAAACCGTCCTCCATTTACTCTTCTTCATTCCTGAGCTAGGTTTCTGCTTGCCTAACTACTACCTGCTTGATCTAGCCTCGTAGAGCCTGCTTGTTTGGTAGTTTGCTAGTTTCCGTCAGCCACCATGCAAATCTTCGTGAAGACTCTCACCGGCAAGACCATTACCCTTGAGGTCGAGAGCAGCGATACCATCGACAATGTTAAGGCCAAGATCCAGGACAAGGAGGGGATTCCTCCTGACCAGCAGCGTCTGATTTTCGCTGGCAAGCAACTGGAGGATGGCCGTACTCTTGCGGACTACAATATCCAGAAGGAGTCTACGCTTCATCTGGTGCTTCGGCTTCGCGGTGGCATGCAAATCTTCGTGAAGACTCTTACCGGCAAGACCATCACCTTGGAGGTTGAGAGCAGCGACACGATTGACAACGTTAAGGCGAAGATTCAGGATAAGGAAGGCATCCCCCCCGACCAGCAGCGCCTGATTTTTGCCGGCAAGCAGCTCGAGGACGGACGTACTTTAGCCGACTACAACATTCAGAAGGAGTCGACCCTGCATCTGGTGCTTCGCCTCCGCGGTGGCATGCAGATCTTCGTGAAGACTCTTACCGGGAAGACGATTACTCTGGAGGTTGAGAGCAGCGACACCATCGACAACGTGAAAGCGAAGATCCAGGATAAGGAAGGCATCCCCCCCGACCAGCAGCGCCTGATTTTCGCCGGCAAGCAGCTCGAGGACGGTCGCACGTTGGCTGACTACAATATCCAGAAGGAGTCGACTCTTCATCTGGTGCTCCGTCTTCGCGGAGGCATGCAGATTTTCGTCAAGACCTTGACGGGAAAGACCATCACTCTGGAGGTTGAGAGCAGTGACACCATTGACAACGTGAAGGCGAAGATTCAGGATAAGGAGGGGATTCCCCCTGACCAGCAGCGCCTGATTTTCGCCGGCAAGCAGCTCGAGGATGGCCGCACTCTGGCTGACTACAACATCCAGAAGGAGTCGACGCTTCACCTGGTGCTTCGCCTTCGTGGTGGTATGCAGATTTTCGTGAAGACCCTCACGGGAAAGACCATCACGCTCGAGGTTGAGAGCAGCGACACCATTGACAACGTCAAGGCTAAGATTCAGGACAAGGAGGGTATCCCCCCTGACCAGCAGCGTCTGATTTTCGCAGGCAAGCAGCTCGAGGATGGTCGCACTTTGGCTGATTACAACATCCAGAAGGAGTCCACCCTCCATCTGGTGCTTCGCCTCCGTGGTGGTCAGTAGTGATCACCAGCTTAAGCCGGGTGGAAAGTGGTTGTGATGAATGCCAGTAGGCCTTTCTGTGATTTGCTGTTTATAGTGGTGTATTGAAAGGCTAACTACATTTGTACCCAAGCATGGTTGTCTTAATAGCAGCGTTAGCTGCACCATTTCTTCGACACGTCGTCACACCAGCCCAGCCGGTGCATTAATAACCAGGTCATTCCAATCGTTGAGGCAGTTTGGATGAAGATCCCTTAATTACTCTGGTCAGTATCCAGTAGTTACTACCAAGCCCATGTTTGGCAAATGGTTGACTACATACCGTAAACTACCACAACGCAGTCACAATGCCATTGTTGTATTGCCGTTACTGTACACCCCTGTACCAATTGTATGTTTCATGCAAATCAAAATGCAATGGCAACACTGGCCTTCACCTTCTGCGGCTCCATGAGCCACCACCTCTGCAGCACCAATCTTCACCCACGTCTCTCATCCACCACATATTGTGGTGTGCTCAAGATGCAATGATAGCACCAGCCTTCTCCCTCTGCGGTTCAACAGCCACGGCATCAGCCACCACCTCTGCAGCACCCATTTCCTCCACCCGCCGTCCAAACGCGAGCTCAAAGATCTCATCGTAGTGCTCCACGAACCAGGCATCCAGCCCCTCCCTCACATGCTCTGACAGCTCCTCATAGTCCTTGCGGTTGGCCTTGGGGAACACAAGCAGCTTCACACCATTGCGGCGAGCGGCTATGGTCTTCTCCTTAACCTGTGGGAAGGGTGGGCAGTGAGCGACAGGAAACACAGCTCTCATGTGTTTTGGCCGCTCCTTCTCATACGCCTTGCGGTTGCGCCAGTTACAGCATAGCAGTAATCATCATGCAACCAGCAAGTCAACACAAGTCAAAGCAAGTCAAGGAAGTCAAGCAACTCACCCCTCCAATCGGCAGCACTTTGCCAGTCAAGGTCACTTCGCCAGTCATTGCTAAATCCGCTCTCACATGCCGCCCCAGTGCCAGAGACAGCATGGCAGTGATCATGGTGCAGCCGGCACCCGGGCCGTCCTTGGGCGTGGCCCCAGCTGGCACGTGCATGTGCCTCCCAGTCACCAGCATAACAATAGCCACAGAACAACATACCGCAAGTCAAAGCAAGTCAAGGCAACTCACCCCTCCAATCGGCAGGACTCTGCCTGTCAAGGTCACTTCGCCAGTCATGGCCAGATCTGCCCGCACGAGTCTTCCCAGCGCCAGAGGCAGCATGGCAGTGATCATGGTGCAGCCAGGTGAGCGAACACAAGTCAATGAGAGTGCAGGCAACTCACCCCTCCAATCGGCAGCACCCGTCCAGTCAAGGTAACCTCTCCCGTCATAGCAAGGTCCGCTCTCACGTGTCTCCCCAGTGCCAGAGACAGCATGGCAGTGATCATGGTGCAGCCGGCACTCGGGCCGTCCTTGGGAGTGGCCCCGGCCGGCACGTGCATGTGCATGCGCGTCTTTCTGAAGAATTCGCTGCCGGGGTCGGCCCGCGTGAGGATTTGCCGCGCGACTGTATGGGCTATGGTGGCGCTCTCCCTCATCACGTCTCCCAGCTGGCCCGTCAGCTCCAGACTGCCTCTTTCCGCTGCCTGGGGTTGGGTGAATAAGGCAGTGGGAAGGAAAGGGAAGGAAGAGAGGTTGACAACCTGCCGTGCCACCGTGTGCCGCGCTATGGTGGCGCTTTCCCTCATCACATCGCCTAATTGGCCTATGTGGGGTTACCAAGGCAGTGGGGAGAAAGAGAGGGTGAGATCAGTCACGCCACCAGGTGGTGGTGAATGGGGGAGGCAGTAGGGCGGGGGAAGAGCATCGGGTGGCACAAACACATGTATCACTCCAATGAACCCCCCACGGCAGTCCAGGCCAGCCAGCCCCATAACCACGCCCACTGCCCTCTCATTGCACATGCACTCACTCTGGCTGCAATGAGTCTGGACACCTCAACCCACCCCGACCCTTTCAACCCACCTCAACCCATGTCAACCTGTTGATGATGACTGTGGCTTCAACAAAAAGTCCTCCTCACCTGCTCAATGACTGTGGCTTCAACAAAAAGTCCTCCTCACCTGCTCAATGACTGTGGCTTCAACAAAAAGGACCCCCCATGGCAGTCCACGCCAGCCCCATGACCACACCCATGGGCGTCTCATCATACATGCGCTCGCTCTGAATGGAATAGGTCTCGATAAATGCACGCACAGCAGTGACATGCTCACCTGCTCAATCACTGTGGCTTCAACGTAGAGCGTTGAACCCCCCATGGCAGTCCACGCCAGCCCCATGACCACACCCACGGGCGTCTCATCATACATACGCTCGCTCTGAAACACCGGCTGCCCCACATACTCCACCAACGTACCCTCGTCCACCACTATCCTCTCCCTCTCCTCCTTCCCACCCTCCTTAGCCACACTTGCAGCCTCCTTCCCAGCCTCATTCTCCCTCTCCTTGCCCTCCTTACCCTCCTCCCCGCCCCCATCAATGGCCCCTGGCCTTTCCTTCTCCTCTCCCCGCCTCTCTCCCTCACCCCTCCGTTCCCCTTCGTCCCTCCTCTCCTCCAGCCTCTCCCCCCCATCCTCCGACAGCCGAGTGACAAGGTCCAGAGCGCCCTCTGTACCCTCCATAATCTTCTCCGCTATCTCCATACTGTCCTTCCTGCTGCTGCTGCTGCTGCTGCTGCTAGAATCACTAGTGCTGGAAATACTGCTGCTGAAATCACTGCTGCTCCTGCTGCCACTAGCACTGCTGGAAAGAGAATCCTTTTCCTCTTCCCCATCCTCCACTAGTCCTGCTGCTGCTGCCGCAGCTACCTTCTTTCGCTCCTCCCTCTCCCCCTCCCTACGCACTATCTTCAATGCCACCTGCAAACCACGGAGATGGGGGAAGACAGGGAGTGTGCGTGACCGTCAACATGCAACTCATACCCTCCCGTACCTCCCACTCCGTTGGAGTGACTTTTGAGAATTCTCAAAAGTCACTCCAACATGCAACTCATACCCTCCCGTACCTCCCACTCCTCCCTCGTCCCTCTCTCCGCCCTTGATTTCAAGAACCACAAACTCATCCCTGCACACCTCCCTGCACCCTTCCCAGCAATAGAAATTCCTCACCTGGCGGTAGATCCTCTCGATGTGTTTCTGCAGGTTCCTCAGTACACCCCACCAAGCACAACCTTCAGCACCCCTCCCTGCACACCTCCCTGCACCCTTCCCAGCAGGCTCTCTACCTGGCGGTAGATCCTCTCAATGTGCTTCTGCAGGTTCCTGAGTGCACCCCACCAAGCACCCCAGCACCACTCCCAACACCAATGCACTCCTCCCAAAACCCCTCCCAGCAAGCTCACACCTTGCGGGAAATCCTCTCGATGTGCTTCTGCAGGTTCCTCTCCCCGACCTCTCTGCAGGACGTCTCGATAAGCGAATGCAATGAACTCCGAAGCACCCCCCTCAGCACCCCCCTCAGCACCCCCCCCTGCACAAGGTGACTTTAGAGTCGACTCAAAAGTCACCTCCGAAGCACAACCTTCAGCACCCCCCTCAGCACCCCTCCCTGCACCCCTCCCTGCACCCTTCCCAGCAAGCTCTCTACCTGGCGGTAGATCCTCTCAATGTGCAGCTGCAGGTTCCTTAGTACACCCGATCAAGCACCCCAGCACCACTCCCAACACCCCTGCACACCTCCCCAAGCCCCTCCCAGCAAATTCCTTACCTTGCGGTAGATCCTCTCAATGTGCTTCTGCAGGTTCCTGACACCCGCCTCCCTGCAATACGTCTCAATCAGTGAGTGCAGCGCAGTATCCGTGACCAGCACCTGGAGGGGAGGTTTCACGAGGAAAGAGGGCGGTCGAAGGAGGGAGGGGAGAGTGGTGATAGTGAAATCACTATTGAGAATTTTAGGTGAAATCACCAAGTGAGTGCAGCATCCGTTACCAGCACCTGGAGGGGAGGTTTCACGAGGAAAGAGGGCGGTCGAAGGAGGGAGGGGAGAGTGGTGATAGTGAAATCACTATTGAGAATTTTAGGTGAAATCACCAAGTGAGTGCAGCATCCGTTACCAGCACCTGGTGGTTTCACGAGGAAAGAGGGCGGTCGAAGGAGGGAGGGGAGAGTGGTGATAGTGAAATCACTATTGAGAATTTTAGGTGAAATCACCAAGTGAGTGCAGCATCCGTTACCAGCACCTGGTGGTTTCACGAGGAAAGAGGGCGGTCGAAGGAGGGAGGGGAGAGTGGTGATAGTGAAATCACTATTGAGAATTTTAGGTGAAATCACCAAGTGAGTGCAGCATCCGTTACCAGCACCTGGTGGTTTCACGAGGAAAGAGGGCGGTCGAAGGAGGGAGGGGAGAGTGGTGATAGTGAAATCACTATTGAGAATTTTAGGTGAAATCACCAAGTGAGTGCAGCATCCGTTACCAGCACCTGGTGGTTTCACGAGGAAAGAGGGCGGTCGAAGGAGGGAGGGGAGAGTGGTGATAGTGAAATCACTATTGAGAATTTTAGGTGAAATCACCAAGTGAGTGCAGCATCCGTTACCAGCACCTGGTGGTTTCACGAGGAAAGAGGGCGGTCGAAGGAGGGAGGGGAGAGTGGTGAGGCGCCTCCAAAGGTTCCTCACGCCCGCCTCCCTGCAGTACGTTTAAGAATTCTCAAAAGTACCCTCAATCAGTGAGTGCAGTGCAGTATCCGTGACCAGCACCTGGTGGCTTCACGAGGAAAGGGAGTTCATTACAAGGAGGGAAGGGAGAGTGGTGAGGCGCCTCCAAAAGGTTCCTCACGCCCGCCTCCCTGCAGTACGTCTCAATCAGTGAGTGCAGTGCACCTTTGAGACGCCTCAGTATCCGTCACCAGCACCTGGTGGTTTCAGAAGGAGGGAAGGGAAGGCGACGTGTGAGACTGGAGGTGCAAATTCACCTCTCTACATCTACCCGGCCCCTAGCACCTCTCCACACCCCGGCCTCCATGCCATTCAGCAGGGTGCGAGCGAGGGTACTAGAGGGTGTGATACAGAGTGAAAAGACCATTCGAGTAACAAGAGTGTGAGGAAGTGCGCGGTGAAGTGAGAGAGAGAGAGAGAGCTCCCACCTGTTCTGTATGACATTTGTTTTGAGACGCCTCAAAACAAATCTTCATACACGTGGTGAAGTGTGAGAGAGAGTCCCCACCTGTTCTGGCTTCACACCGCACCCAGTGCGAGCAGCAGGCTCCAGGTACCCTCTATCGATGTGGGTCTTCTGTGTGTGCTGCTGTGAGCCCACGTGCAGTACGTGCTACAAAGCGTGTGCTAGAATAGCTCCCACCTGTTCTGGCGTCACACCGCACCCAGTGCGAGCAGCAGGCTCCAGGTACCCTCTATCGATGTGGGTCTTCTGTGTGTGCTGCTGTGAGCCCACGTGCGGTACGTGCTACAAAGCGTGTGCTAGAATAGCTCCCACCTGTTCTGGCGTCACACCGCACCCAGTGCGAGCAGCAGGCTCCAGGCTATGTTGCGCCTGACGCCCTGGAAGGGCAGCGTCCAGCGTCCGGACGTGAACGTCCGGACGCTGGACGCGTCAAATCGGTTTGACGCTGGACGTTCGGGGAAATTTTTTTCGGGCAGCCCGAAAAAAAATTATCCTGCACGAAATTGACTCGCAATTACATTGCGACCAGAATTGACGATGAAATTGCCATCTGGGGGCCGCGTTTTTGACCTAAAAAACGCAACCCTCACTTATTCCCCCCCACACATTTGTACCCATCCACATCTACCTCTCCCAACCTGGTCGACCCCCAACTAAACTAGAGAACCAGATCTAGGTCGACATTACACAGATCTGTTTCTCTCGACATTGTCAAGAATTCCTTACACTAGAATTCGCCAGTCACGCTACTAAGCCTTCCTAGCTAAAATTAGGTTAAGGCGATTAAGATATCATGTCAACTCCTAGTCCCGCCAGTCATTCTGTTAGTGCCTCCACGCCTTCTGGAGATTTTCAGGATTTTCTGGATATTATGGAGTATTTATAACTATAGGTGACAAATGTTAACTTCTTGCATTCTAACCCCTGCGTATCCTTACTAGGCAGGTTTTTTTACCCCTGCCCGGAAAACATTTTTGCCCTGCCCGGACTAGCGTCAAGCGGGCGTCCAGGGCAGAGGGCACCGGGCGTCAAGCGTCTGGACGCCCCGTCCAGACGCCAGCGTCAAAAACGCCTGACGCGTCAGGCGCAACATAGGCTCCAGGTACCCTCTATCGATGTGGGTCTTCTGTGTGTGCTGCTGTGAGCCCACGTGCAGTACGTGCTACAAAGCGTGTGCTAGAATAGCTCCCACCTGTTCTGGCTTCACACCGCACCCAGTGCGAGCAGCAGGCTCCAGGTACCCTCTATCGATGTGGGTCTTCTGTGTGTGCTGCTGTGAGCCCACGTGCAGTACGTGCTACAAAGCGTGTGCTAGAATAGCTCCCACCTGTTCTGGCTTCACACCGCACCCAGTGCGAGCAGCAGGCTCCAGGTACCCTCGAGCGATGTGGGTCTTCTCGTCGGAAATGTACCCCACCAGGCGAATCACCTCCATGCGATCCAAGAGGGGCGCAGGAATGGTCTCAAGCATGTTGGCTGTGCACACAAAGAGCACCTGACGGGAGGGGTTGTGGGTGGGGAGGCGGGAGGGAATGGAGGTGAATACGAATGTAAGCTTGCCTTGTGTCACTCGAGTCCACGCCACTAGCGGTATCGCCTCCATGCACGGCACACGCACGGCACACGCACGGCACACGCACGGCACACGCACGGCACACGCACGGCACACGCACGGCACACGCACAGCACACGCATGGCACACGCATGGCACACGCACGGCACAAACACGGCACACGCATGGCACACGCACGGCACACGCACGGCACACGCACGGCACACGCACGGCAAACACACCTTGGAGACGTCCAAAGGCACGTGCAGGTAGTGGTCGAGGAACGGCGCATTCTGCTCGGGGCACGTGCACTTGCATACACACTTGATGCGTGCACAAAAACTTTTGAGTCGACTCAAAAGTCAGCATACACACTTGAAGGTGCACAACAACAGAGAGACACCAACAGACACACAAGGCCCCCACCTTGGAGAGGTCCAGAGGCACGTGCAGGTAGTGGTCCAGGAACGACGCATTCTGCTCCGCATCCAGCATCTCCAGCAGCGCTCCTGCTGGGTGCTTCCACATGGCCTCTACCCACTTGCACTTGCCACACTTGCTACAGTCACACAAAACGCACACACCTTGGAGAGGTCCAGCGGCACGTCCAGGTAGTGGTCCAGGAACGACGCGTTCTGCTCCGTGGCACTTGCACTTGCATACACACTTGATAGGCACACACAAGCAACAGACACCAACAGACACACAAGGCCCACCTTGGAGAGGTCCAGAGGCACGTCCAGGTAGTGGTCCAGGAACGACGCGTTCTGCTCCGCATCCAGCATCTCCAGCAGCGCTCCTGCTGGGTCCCCTGCATGGCCCCTACCCAGCTGGCAGCGACAGATTGGAGAGGGGGAGGGGCAGCAGTGTATAAAGTTTGCAAGGGAAACTATGATGAGAGGAGAGTTGGGGTACACAAAAAGCCTATTCATCAGCGTTCCTGTTGGGTTGCCCGCCCACATGGCTCAGATCAGACCCAGCTGGGGCAAGGATGGGCCGAGAAATGGGAGGGGAGAAACCATCCCACACGCACACACCCTGGTAAAAATTCTCCCCGTATAAAATCCGCGTGCATTGAGGTGTTTTGTGAGGCGCTTAGAAAAAGAACCCAACCCTGTGGACTCGAGGCACTGCACCATCTAGTGTGCGCATGGGCCCCATCCCACGTCTCCCTTACTGATGCTCCCGCCCTCCCCCACGTTGCACACCACACTAGTCCGCTCCGCTGCGACAGACGGCCCACCCCCCACACTTACCTTGTCGATCTCGTTAATGGGAATGAGCGGATTCCCTTTATACATGAGGCAGTGCGCCATCTTGTGTGCACATGGCCCTAATCCACCCCACACGCACACCTTGGTGTCTGCGTCACTCACCTTGGTGTGTGCGTCACTCTTGAGTCGACTCAAGAGTCAACACGCACACCTTGGTGTGTGCGTCGTCACTCACCAATTGTACATCCCTCACTTATTCACTCGCACCCCATCACCATACCTTGTCGATCTCGTCGATAAGAACAAGAGGGTTGGCAACGCCTGTGGACTTGACGCACTGCACCATCTTGCCGGGCATGGCGGCATGGCCCTTATCCCACACGCACACTTTGATGCATGCCACCCTCAATCGCATCGCACCACACACCATACCTTGTCGATCTCGTCAATGAGCACGAGAGGGTTGGCAACGCCTGTGGACTTGAGGCATTGCACCATCTTGCCGGGCATGGCGCCCACATACGTGCGGCGGTGACCCTGAGATGGTGGGGTGGGTTGAGGAAGGACCGGGGGGGCACGAAGGCGTCACAAGGGCGACCAAAAAGGGGTTGCCTTCGCCACACCTGTGGACTTGAGGCACTGCACCAACTTGCCTGGCATAGCGCCCACGTAGGTTCGTCGGTGGCCCTGAGCATTGGGATTTAACAGGATTAAGGGAGGATTGGGAAATAACGGGTTGGGAGAGAGAGGTTTGGGGAAGATAAAGGGGGTACAAGACGTCTCAGAGGGTGTGAAGGGACAGTGGGGAAAGACAAAATGGTTTCGAATGCAGATTTTTAAACCCCATGGTGATGTGTTTGTGGATGCGTGAAAACAAAAAAAAAGCCCAACCATGACCTCCGCCACGTCAGATGAGCCTTACCTTGATCTCTGCCACGTCAGACAGCCCTCCCACAGAGAAGCGGTAGAACTTGCGATCCAGGGCGTTGGCGATGGAGCGACCAATGGACGTCTTTCCCACTCCTGGCGGCCCCACCAGGCAGATGATCTTGCCTGATTAAGAGCAACCACACACCAGGGGAAACAAGAGAAGAGAGACAAAGAGCGACAAGGGACGTGTGAGAAGCGGTAGAACTTGCGATCCAGGGCGTTGGCGATGGAGCGACCGATGGACGTCTTTCCCACCCCTGGTGGGCCCACGAGACAGATGATCTTGCCTGGATGACGTGGCAACACACACGGGGTAACAAGAGAAGATACAACGGGAGACAAATGAAGACTGGGGTGATGCGGGACGAGGGAGACAAGGGCGAGAGTAGTGCAGTGCAGTGGCACGGCTGCTGCAAATTTTCAACCTTTCCACGGAAAATGTCCAGCCAGAACCCACACACACACCAGCAACCCCACCTACCCGGGCCACCCATTTCACCCACACCACACATACCGTGCGTGCTGCCTTTCAGCCTGCCAACAGCAATGAACTCCAAAATGCGTTCTTTCACATCCGTCAGCCCGTAGTGATCTGCATCCAGCACCTGCTGCGCCCGCACCACGTCCAGATTCTCCTCGCTGACAAAAGGCAAGGACCGGGGATGGGAAAACGAAGGAACAGCGGATGAGGGAATGGGAGAGGGAACGGCAGCACCCGTGCGGTCAACCCGTAGTGATCCGCGTCCAGCACCTGCTGCGCCCGCACCACATCTAAATTTTCCTCGCTGACAGAAGGTAAACGGGCGCATGGGAAAATGGGGACACAAGGAGGTGCGGTCAACCCGTAGTGATCCGCATCCAGCACCTGCCGCGCCCGCACCACGTCCAAGTTCTCCTCGCTGCGAGAAAGCAGGAATGGGGGGGTGTCAGTACGGGGGATGGGGGAACGGAAAGGAAGCAGCAGCGGGGTCAGCCCATACAGGCCCGCATCCAGCACCTGCTGCTGCCCCATCCACCCATCCACCCATCATCCACCCATCATCCACCCATCATCCACCCATCATCCACCCATCATCCACCCATCATCCACCCATCATCCACCCATCATCCACCCATCCACCCATCATCCACCCATCCACCCATCATGCCCCCAGGGCATGGACGTGAGCCAGTCGAGGTAGTTGAGCGTCACGTTGAACTCAGAGGAACTCGCCTCAAACCACCCATTTGCCCATCCATCCAGCCATCCATCCAGTCACCCAGTCACCCATCTCCACCCATCTGCACCCATCTCCATCCCCCCCCCCCCCCCCACCTGTAGTGCCCCCAGGGAATGGACGTGAGCCAGTCGAGGTAGTTGCGCGTAACGTTGAACTCAGAGGAACTTGCTTCCAGCCCCTGCAGCTTCGCCATCTCATCCTCTATCACCTGGTGTGGCGATCCCAATGCGTGAAGGGTGTAATACAAGTTTGACTGAACTTGGGTAGCTTTGGATTGGGAGAGCAAGAAGACATATGAGCTCGCTCCAACCCTTGTAGCTTCGCCATCTCGTCCTTCTTGTATCTCCTTCTTGCTTGCACGTCCTCTATCACCTGGTGGCGGTTATTGAACACCTCAGGACGAAAGACGGAATACAAGAAGGAGCGAAAAAGAGGAGATACAAGGGACATGCATGGAAGGGGGGCGGAGGAGGTACACAGGAGGAGCGATAGAGAGGAGGTTGTTATGGCGACGTCAAGATAAATCACACCACAACCAACAAATAGTAAGTAAATATTTGAGAAATTCTCACAACAAGTACTTCTTGCTAGAGCGTCGTGCAGGTACCTGCATGGCTGCTTCTGAGGCGCCTCAAAAGTTGCTAGAGCGTCGTGCAGGTACCTGCATGGCTGCTGGCGGGCAGTTCTGCTGAAACGGCTGAAGCTTCTCCTTGAAGCGTCCTGGGCACACATGGGATGTGATGTGAGAGGCGAGCATGATGCAGGTGAGTGGAGAAAGGTGAAGAAGGTGACTTTTGAGTCGACTCAAAAGTCACGATGCAGGTGAGTGGAGAAAGGTGAAGGTGACTTTTGAGTTGACTCAAAAGTCACGATGCAGGTGAGTGGAGAAAGGAGAAGAAGGTTGCAGTGCCAAGCAAGAGAGTGGGATACATGCAGTCGTGGAATCGGATGGCATGGCATGACGTGGCATTGTAGCACGGCACAGGACAGCATGACTCACCAATGAGTGCAGTCTTGTCATCCTTCTCCAGCCCCAGCTCCTGAAAGAGCAGAAGAGGTGGAAGATGGGAGGACAGTGCATCAAAAGAGGCTGATGAGAGAATAGAATGAAGAAGAAAACAAAGTCGAAGAAGGATGTCCTCCCAGATTAAAAAAAAAAAATCAAACAAACAAACAAAACGGGGGTTACCTTTGGCATTGACTCAAGCTGTTCCAAGCATCGCTCCTCACTTACCTTCTTGATAGCCTTGAGCTGTTCCAAGAGCATGTACTGGCGACTCCCCTCCCAGCACACACAGGCCTCACCTGTTCAATCACCTCACGCTCTAGATCCCATCTTATCTTTTGATCCCCTCGCACCTTCTTGATGGCCTTGAGCTGTTCCATGAGCATGTATCTGCGGCTCTCCCCTGCCAATTTCTCCTCCACGCCTTTGGCTATGTTGGCCTGCCAGTGCACAAGGGAAGTGAGGACAAGGGAGTTGAGGGAAAAAAAAAAAAGAGAGAGGTTAGGCTTGTTCGTCAAGCGGTTCACGGATAAAGGAGAAAATAAGAAAGGTAGACACAGAGAAAACAAGGAAGGATGCGGAATGCACATGGTGAAAATGCAAAACGATGCTCAGAACGCACAAGCACATCACCCCTCACCTGCAGCTTGGCGAGCTCTAATTCCTTCTTGAGCAGCATGAGCGCAAGGGAGAGGCGCTTTCCCACCTGGGAGAGTAGGGATGGAAAGGGGGCAATTGACACGAGGGGAGGGAGAGGAGGAAGAAGAAAGGAATCGGATAGAGGGAGAAATCAGGTGCAGGATCAGGGCAGACAAGAGCCCATGCATATGCTACACCACAGACAACAAACGCACGCACACACATCTAAGAGGTGACTTTTGAGTCGACTCAAAAGTCATCTCGTTACAATGTCACACAGTGCCAGCAAGAACCCATGCACCCACTACACCACAGACAACAAACGCATGCACACACATCTACAAGCACACATCTACAAGCACACATGTACACACATGTACACACATGTACACACATGTACACACATGTACACACATGTACACACATGTACACACATGTACACACATGTACACACATGTACACACATGCACACATGATGCCACCACCACGACTCACATCCAGCTCTTCTAGAACCGACTGGAGTGTCGTGTCGGCTCATCCGCGGTCATGAGTGCAGCGCCAAAGTCAGCCATCCTGGAGGCGTTGAACTCGCCCACGTGCTGCACGAACATTGCAATGTGCTCCTTCCTTGTACAGCGGTGGGGTGTGCCTCACGGGTGATGGTGACTCACACGCACACACATCTGCACACGATGCCAGGACTCACATCGAGCTCTTCCAGAACGGATTGCAAGGTCGGCTCATCCGCAGCTGTCAAAGCAGCCCCGAAATCCGCCATGCGGGAGGCGTTGAACTCGCCCACGTGCTGCACGAACATTGCAATGTGCTCCTTGTACAGCGGGTTGTGCCTCACGAGGTCCTTGAGCGTGCTCACCACCTCCATCACCGTGGCTTTTATCATCACGCTGTTGCTGTCGTAGGGGAGATCCTGAGGTGAAGGGGGGGGTGCAGAGGGGTGCAATGTGTGTATGAGGGTAAGAGTTGTGCTTCACGAGGTCCTTGAGTGTGCTCACCACCTCCATCACCGTGGCTTTAATCATCACGCTGTTGCTGTCGTAGGGGAGATCCTGGTATATGGTGGTGCGCAAGAGTGCGACGTGATGCAATGCGGTGCAGTGGGGTGCAAGAGGATGAAGGCTGGGGGCATCAGCACCATCACGAGTTCCTTGAGCGTGCTCACCACCTCCATTACTGTGGCTTTAATCATCACACTGTTGCTGTCGTATGGTAGATCCTGGAATGGGGCGCGGTAAAGACAGAGGATAGATAAGGAGGGGAAGGGACGGTGCGAAAGGGCGAAGGCAGGGTTGTGCCTCACGAGGTCTTTGAGCGTGCTCACCACCTCCATTACCATGGCTTTAATCATCACACTGTTGCTGTCGTATGGTAGATCCTGAGGTGCAGGAGAAAGTGTGGTCGGATGCAATGTGGTGCAATGTGGTGTGTAGGTGGGTAAAGGTCGAGACTCGAGAGTACCACCAACACGAGGCTGGGATTTTTTTTAGAATTCTCAAAAGGTCCTCGAACGTGCTCAGCACCTCGAACGTGCTCAGCACCTCCATCACCGTGCCTTCTATTGTCGCACTGTTGCTGTCGTACGGCAGATCCTGGCATGAGCATGGGATGAAAATGAGGAGGTGCAGTGGGGTGCAGTAGGGTGCAATGTGTGTAAGAGGGTGAGGGTTTTGCCTCACGAGGTCCTTGAGCGTGCTCAGCACCTCCATCACCGTGCCTTTAATCGTCGGACTGTTGCTGTCGTACGGCAGATCCTGGTGTGTGGCGTACACTGAAAGAAAGCACCACTGACACTCCTCCTCCCACTCTCCCGAACCCATTTTCATCACATCCCACCCATTCCCAACCTCACATGGCCCACCACGGTGACATGCATAGAGCAGTCAGCAAGTCCTCTGCACTATGCCTGTCAACCTCCTCACACCACACATCACAAAAAGAAGAACTGCCACCCCAGTCACTCTCCCACCCACACCCACCTTCACCACATCCCACCCATCCCCACCTTGATATGGTCCACGGTGACCGTGAGCGGGTCCTCCCCCACCATGCCTGTCAGCCTCACCTCCACGATACGAGTGGCCTAGAGTGTCTATGAAATGAGGGAACCGTTCCCCACCCATCCCCACCTTGATATGGTCCACGGTGACAGTGAGCGGGTCCTCCCCCACCATGCCTGTCAGCCTCAGCCGCCGGTGCCCCATCAGCAGCACGCAACATGATCACACTATGGAGGATGGCCGCGAGTTTTGCGCGGCCTAGAGTGACTATAAGGAAACCGTTCCCCACCCATCCCCACCTTGATATGGTCCACGGTGACAGTGAGCGGGTCCTCCCCCACCATGCCTGTCAGCCTCAGTCGCCGGTGCCCCATCAGCAGCACCTGCGCTGAGTCGCCGTCCAGTGGCTTGATCACCTGCATCACCTGTAGAGGGAGAGGGGGAGGGAGGAGAGTGGGGAGTGGGAGAGGAGGGTGGGCGTGTGTGTTGGCAAATGGTGGTATTGCGGTACCACCAACCGCACACATGCCGGTGCCCCATCAGCAGCACCTGTGCTGATTCCCCGTCAAGCAGCTTGATCACCTGCATCACCTGCAGGGGGGGAGGGAGGAGAGGCGGGAGAGGGGGGGAGGGAGGAGTGCGAGAGGTGGAGAGAGGTGGAGAGAGGTGGCTTGATTACCAGCATCAACGGCTTGAGCACCCTTCCATTGCCTTCAAACCCCACTAAACCCACCCCTTGCATCACCACCGCTCTCCACCACTTCTCACCTGAGCGAACGTCCCTGTCTCGTGCAGCTTGCTATAAAGCTCCCCTCCCTTAATAAACGCCTCCCCTCCACCCCCACCCGCAACACCTTCCCCCTCCCCGGGCCCCTCTCCCACCCCTGCACCTGCTCCATCCGCCTCCCCATGCGGCTTCCCTCCCCCCACCCCTTCTCCCCCTCCACTAGCTACCTCCCTGCCCCACTCTTCAGCAACGCCAACGCCATCACTCCTCTCTGGGCCCAACTCTCGCCTGTCACTGCTACTGCTTGTGGCTGCTCCTTTTGCCCCATCTGCTCCCTCTGCTCCTGCTGTTCCGGCTGCACTAGGTGAAGGATGAGCGGCAGAAGAAGAAGCAGGGGCAGCGTGGTCGTCCCGGACAAGGAATGCGCCCACGTAGGGCGTGCCTTGCGCCTTGAGCTCCTGCAGCGCCGCCACCAGCTTGGGGTTCTGCAGCAGCCATGAGAAGTGGGGGGAGTGGAAGAAAGAAGAGAGGGGAAAGAGTGGGGACAAGAAGAAAGGGGAACGCGCCCACGTAGGGTGTCCCTCGCGCCTTGAGCTCCTGAAGCGCCGCCACCAGCTTGGGATTCTGCAGCCAAGAGGGAAAGGGGGGAAGGGGGAGGGATTAGGGGTTTGGGGAGTGTGGACGTAGGGAAGGGGGAGGGCATGCGGTGTAAAAAAGCGCTTGCATCAGCTTGGGGTTCTGCAGCAGGGAGGGTCGGCGGGGGGAGAGGTGGGGGGGCGGGCATGAAAACACGTAGGGGAAATTCGAACGGTACGCGCTCCCCTCCTTCCCTCCTGCACCTTGACGGTATAGAGAAACGGAACACATGCGAGGCCGCACCTTGACTATAACGGGGACGTAGAAGCCTGGGAACAGTGGCCTTCGTGTGAGCGGAATCGCGAGCACTTTCGGGTAATGCTCGGGGCGCGGACCTGCGGGGACGATGGACGTCTCTTCCGCCAACCCCCCCGCTTCGCCCGCTCCTTCCCCCGCTGCGCCTTCTCCCATCACAAATTCCGCCCCGCCTTCCGCGGACGCGCCAGCATTTTGCCCCGCAATCCCCACCACGGGATTCCCTTCCCCACGCGCGGCCGCCTCAGCGTTAGCAGCCGCTGCGGCGGGAGCGGAAGCGGCTCCCCTGACTTCCGTGGCTGACTTGATGCGCGAATCACGGCGTCTAATGCGGCCGCGCCGGGCGCCATGGTACCCTGCGTGCGCTACAGCATCCGCTGCGACTTCCTCCCCCACCGCTTCCGCCGATGCCTCACTAGCGGCGGCTTCCCCCGCCGCTTCCCCCGCCCCTTCCGCTGATGCTTCCGACATGCGCGCGGATTCTCCTCCGCCTTCCGCAACTACTTCCGCCGCAAGGCCCCTTCTCGCAGAATCCCCATTCTCGCTTGCATTCGGCGCATCCGCAGCCACATCCCCCTTCTTGCCTGCTGCATTACTCCCGTTCCCTGAATCTCCGCCGGCATTTGCGGTGAATCCGCGAACCCATCCTGTTCCGACGGCGGCCTGAGCCTGATCCCAGAGAACTAAGACTCGGTACTGGACTGGCTGTAGCGCGCGGTGCGCTGCGGATGGGTGCAGTGCGGTGCAGAGGACACGATCGAGGCGCCGTGGTAAGCACGGCTTTAAAGCTGCCAGCATGGCAACTAGGGATGTAGGCACTAGGCCACCCTACTGCCTAGCTATGCTGCCTACCAGGATCCGTGAATTAGGCGACCAGTAGCATTGAAATGATAATTGTGCCGATTCAGCACCAAATGAAGCAGTGGAGGTGAATGTGCTTTGCTAAGGGGTCGAATGCTGGGATTTTGCATCAGGAAACGCTTAGCTAAGAATTGTTAGTAGCAGCCCAGTTGCGTGAATCAGAAGCGAGTCCACGTGGAAAACTGACGACGCTCCTGGCGAATCGCCAGAATGTTCGACTTGAAGGGAGGATTCTCCACTAGCATAAGCCTCGATAATGTCTAGACACGAGAAACAGAGAACAGTAGGTACTGTATGCAAAACCTGGAAGGGAAAAGCCAGAATATAAATATTTTCACGGTCTGGATCCCACAGAGCCACAAGCTGCTGAAATGGTAACCGCGGCTACTTGTAGGGGCCGAAACGCCACTTGTTCGCGCCACTTTCTGCCTCGTGGATCGCCACAAGGAATCCAGCGGTTCAAACATGGCGGAGCGCCCTTGAGCAATCTCCATGCTTTGGTGAAGGCTACCATGGTGGTAACCGCTCGTGCACGGCGGAAATTGAAAGTCAGCCAATCAACGCTCCGACAGTCATCGACCGAGTTTTGCCGAGATCAGGCAGCCTGATCTTCACTTTCGCGCACAATATCCGACCAATCTCCGGGAGAAACGAGAGAAGGGCGCGTAACCATTTTGCACCCGACGGTTCGAACGTGGACCGTCCTGGTAGCGAATTGGTAACAAGCTTCGCAAAATGTCGTGATCGTGCTCCCTAAGGTGTTGGCGACATCGCCAGCAAAACGGACTGTAGTGACACTTTTTCCCACTTCAACGGTCCGAAATCTGAACCGTGGACGGTCCGAATCCCAAACGGACTGTCCAACAGTCCTTGCTTTTTTTTTTTTGGTAGGTGAAATATGCACTATACACGTACAATGCAAAAACACCACGGTCGTAACCGGTGCTAGAGGGCTTAGGTAGTGTATACTACCGTACCCTCCCAGATCTCTACGGAGGCTTATAGACCAAACGCCTAAACATTTCAGCTTGCCCGCCACAAAAACTTATTGTGCCGTTGTCACACTTCAGTACTTGCAGAAGCATCTCGATACATTCCTCATGCTGGTCACAATTGGAGGGCGACGCAAAAATTGTCGAGTCACCTCTTCCACCAACAAAAACGTACGAGGCTACTTCACACGAATCGACATTGACCAACCAGAGACAACCCATAAACAAAAATTATTCGATAACGACGTTTGCGAGCTTGAGAGAATTGCGTAACGCTCGTACAGAGATCGTGAAACTGTACATTATGAAAAAAGTGTCACAACTGTCTTCGGACAGTCCGAAGTTGCAAAAAAGTCAGTCGGACGGTACCGTTCTCGATAGGTGGACCGTACTTCGTTTTAAGCGGACTATCCGTCAAAATCGTAAAATGCAAAATGGTTACGCGCCCTAACGCCTTCTGACAGGCGTGAGCGTAGGCGGGAGGTTACTGGAACCGACAAAAGTCAGCGGATCTGTGGGTGCGGTGCAACCGAGTCGCACATCTCCGTTGTCATTGGCACCATTGACCCAGAAACAAATTGGCACCTTGTTGCTCAGAAACAAATTAAACCACGCTATATGACTTTTCCACCGTTTTCACATCGTACGAAACCGTAGTTTAGTGGAGATTTCTGGCACCTCCTAGTGGGTTGACACTCCACAAGAACTAAAATCATGAGGCCTATGTCCGGAAAAGAAGGGGCACTGGCACAAGAAAGCAATGACAAGAACGAATCGATATGGGTTGGGGATGTAGCTAAAAGAGCAACCGCTGGGCGTTTGAAGGTATTCCGCAGAATCAGCGAGGTTCGCGAATAACAGGACGCATCAGCCGGAGGGGTTAGATGAAGCGTTAGCCGGAGGCAGTCATATCCGCTCCATCACAGCAACGTCTGCTGTGCTCATTGCGCTCTGCGCAGCCGTTTAATGGAGTCACGCATATACTCGGTTCGTAAATATCCGTACCATTCGTGAATAGGAAGCACGAACCTCGAACTCACCGTTCACCATTGACCAGAATTTCAGCTACTTTAGGTTCAGGATTGAGGGATACTAGACAGCCTCATTCGTCCGACGAATTAGCCATTCCGTTTCCTCGTTTGCTCAACCCAATCCATACACTATCGTCAACACACCCACTTGAGGCATTTCCTAAGTGCCTCGGATTACGAAAGAATGAGTCCGAGTCGTTGCCACCCCGTCGAACCAAACACTCCCAGCAAAAGCACCAGCGTCGTCGGCGTGATAAGCAGCTGTTGGTCCACCCTAACCCCGAAGAACCTCCTTCCAGGCGACGTCATTCTCGCGCTTCACCCTGTCACAGTCTCTTATTTCCCCGAAGATGCAACAGCACACACGGTGTTCAGGCGGACTCCGACTAATCTGAGTCTGATCCGTCAAGTGCGCAGTTTGCGTCGTCTGGTGGACATGGTCGCCGTGGGATATGCAGTGGGAGCGTTTCGTGGATGCACGGCGATGCTCACGGTGCTTCGGGGGACCAGGTAGTAATGTCTTCACGAATAATGATAAACAAATTTTGCGGTCTCACGATTCTCTCCTGTCTTTCTTTTCCCTGTGTTCTCGTATTGTTCTGTTCTGTTTTGGTTTTGATTTTCCTTACTCTTTTGGTTTGTTTTTGTACTCGTTTGAACTCGTCTTTTCACCATCTGTTATTTCCATCTTTACTCCCTGTAACCCGAGTAACCTCTCCTCCCTGGGCAGCAAATTCATTATTACAGTGGAGATTTCGCCATCAGCTTTGGTGCAGGAAACCGCATCTCAAAACACGGAGGCTGAAGCAGCCCTAGCCGGATTCCATTCAACCTTGAGACTTTCAAGCCGTCCGACTCCTTGCGGTTCGTCCATTTTTCAAGGCGTGACCATAGCGGAAGGGAGCCACGAGCTGTTTGCTCCCCTTGCGAGAAAAACGGAAGCCACTATTCTCCATGTCGATCGGCTCAAGGCGTTTCGACACGCTACCAGCAAAACATCATGGCCGCGACCCGTGAACCTTTCAGGAAGGCAAATTCAGGAGAGTCCTCGTCGGACAGCAGTGGCAGCGGCTGCTATAAGCAAGGGTTCAGCTGCAGAAAAGGAGTCGATGTGCCTGAAATTTCCCGCACAGGCGAGAAGAGAGGCAGCTGCATGCCATGGCGGATGCAATCTAGGGGCAATTCAAGGGTTAACTGAATACAATTGCGGAGCTGACGGCTCGTTCGCTGGCTGCTTTATCATCGAATGGGGGCTGGCGTCAAAAGCAGGGTCCGTGGGGAAGGAGAATGGCGCTCCTCCATTTAACAGTGCTGATGCATTCGTGGCGTCGTGTGCTGGAAAAGACGACGATGAGCCGCTGTACCGGCCACTGCTGGTGGATTTCAGCCGCCGCAGGTGGCAGAGGAGGGTTGGTGACATGGCAGTACGTGGATCTGTCTGTCAGGATGATGCTGCAGGATAAGGGGTTCAAGAAGCTCATCTGGACACTGTTGAGGTGAATGGAGAGGATTGGTTGTGGCAACTGCATTGGGTACGTGGAGAGGGGTGGTTCTGGAAGCAGTGGTGTTTGGTAGTAAATAGGAGGAGCTCTTGTGGCATATTCTTAATAGGAGAGTGGGTACCTGAGCACGGATCGGCCCATGGAGGATGGTGCTGGAGCAGCTGGAGGATGGATGGTTCCGTCGACCGGGATGGCGTCATCAAATAAGAGGGCTTTCTAGTTTCGATTCTGAAGCCAATCAACGCCATGCGGAGTACCACTGCAAACGGTAATACACGCAGGCTTGCTTGCAGCTTTTCCTTTTGCATTCACAAGGCAGCTACGCATAGGAGTGACAGAATCTTTGTCCAGCGGTTGTTAGCTTGTCTGTCTCTTAGCTGTGGCCTTGTGAATGCAAAAGGGGGAGCTTGATATGCTTTTTCCTTTCGTTCTGAGTGGTGCAACCTCACACACTGTTAATATTCTCATTGTGGGTTCTGTTGCGTTTCATCTCTTAGCCTATACTTAATTGCATATACCCAACACACACTCTAACCAGAAACTCGTGTAGACCTAGCTCCTGCGGCATGTCAGGTATCTACACAGAAAGCTGCTACGCTCTTCCCACCATAGTCCGCAGCCAGCATCATTTCAATCAGCCAGCATTCTTCAGCCTTGCCCTCCAATTCGTCATGTCAGAAGGAGCTAACGTAAGAACAGCACCAGGCCCAACATTGTAATCTGACAGGAGCTTGTGCGCATACTTCATGTATGCTGCCTGATTCCCACAGAAATATACCTGGTTCAGGTAGCAGAACGGTTTCATCCAACGGCCCTCGTGAAGCAGCATCTGCTGGGAGGTAGGTATGCCAGTGAATTTCTGGATCGTGGACATGACGGATTCTACGGTCGCTTTGGGAGATTCCACTTCCAGGACGTAAAAGCTGCCATCGAGGGAGTTTTTTATCAGCAGCTGCATGAGAGTTGCGATCACGGAAGACCTTCGCTGCCAGATCAAAATCCAAAGCTCCAAACGTAGCTGCGGTCCCAGCAATTCGACTATGGTGACGCGTCCCGTAATTAATCAGGAACCGCACAGAAGGTCGCAGGAGTCCAAGCCGATCATTACGTAATCGATAACTGAAAACAGTTTTTAGAGGTCCGAATATGACGAGGTCCATTTTGGCAGTGAAGAATGCGTAACGCATTTAGAAAGGTCACAGGTATCGAGCGCTTCGGCTCTGGTGTTTTACCGAGAAGCAACGTGGAATTATAAGACGGCATTAGGTTGCTGGCCAACATGCACGCTGAATCTCGAATCGCGATAGTGAGTTTCGGACCGCATCTTCCGCTGAAGCACGTGGCGAACTCTAACCAGGTGTATGCGACACGCTACATATTTACCTACTGTAACATGCTTCGCGAATTACACTCCAGGCAATCCATGCGTGGATGGCCCCTTGGGAATTGTCTGCCAATTCATCCCGTACCTGCTAAACCTACCCTGTTATCTGCATGGCTGGACACACTGGTCAACCCCGAACCTGGCTAGTCTTGGTTTGGCGGATAACCTGGGTCTTCAGAAAGGGACCACCAAGCCAGAAGTCCCAGATTTGGTGGTTCGGTTACACTGTACCTTGATGCTGCCTTCCAGCTCACCACAGGCTCGGAACACGTGGTGGTGGCGACAGTGAACAGCTGGCTCCTGGTTGTTCACGCCTCTCGCATTCGATTGGTTGATCGCAATGCTCGCTCAAATTGCTGCCACACAGATGTCCCGCCCAGCAGCAGCTGTTGTCCCTTCACTTCTCTATCCACCAACCAACCATCCCAATTTTGTTCTCGTCAGTTTTCCCAAAGGGAAAGCGGCCAAGTCGGGGAATTAGGACGGGTATAGTAAAACAGCTGGTGGTCTCGTTTCCCCCTTTTGCAGACGAGTGTGTACAACCCCACACCGTGAGGAAAAACACTTCAACTTTCGGAAAACTTCTTTACCGAGGGTCCTAAACCCGACACCTTTACGATGCCTCCACCCAGTTTCATTTCGAAGGGTGTTCGACATTTCCAAGAGGGCGTTTCCCTCTTCCCCCTCTCCCTCCCCGAGCCCAACACGGGGATGGCTGGATTCGCTATCCGAGGCCCCCAAACCAACACCATTCCTGAGGCTTCGTACGTTCAAACAAACCCAAGGAAAAGCCAGAAGAAACCGACATTAGCATTGAGCAACACTTGTCCATGGAGCAGGGATGCACCTCACAGCAAGTCAGGAGCAGCATGCTGTTGTGGAGTAACGGTTACAACCAGAATGACTGCACGCTGGGCAACTTGCTCGCCATACTGTTCCATACACTCACGAAGCCGAAGCCTCTCGTGCAGGCATGCACATTTGACCAGCAGACAAACCATTCTCCCTGTCCCTCTCCATCCCATCCCACCTCATCTGGAGCAACAATGTGGAAAGCACGCCGTCAACGCATCGACTTGTGTTTTTTGCATTCCTCCGGTTTCAATATCAACATCAACCCCGTTCGTCCTAGATTTTGCGGTTGTCACTTCGCGGTGTGAGTGGTTCATGGACATATATACGGTTCGATACTCCGTAAGCCATTCTAACTGTGAGATATCGTCCTGCGAGTCTTCTGTTCTGCCCGCTGACGTATGTCTGCCATCCATCGCCGTTCGTGAATTCATAGTAACTGCTAAAGCTGACCCAACCCGCTACGCTCCGCATGGCCAACCCGTTTCTGCTTCACCGCATGACTGTAGCTCCTTATTAGCTTCAGTTAGACTTATCTCAGAACCATCCGCTAGCACGAACCCTGTTTTTTAGCCGTTGCGGCCTACTCTCACGGTCAAACCAATATTTTTTTCTCTACAGTCTCTGTATAAAAGTCGGCGTACGGGAAATAGGCTCTGTAAGATTCTGCAGCTCCCTTAGTGAAGAGATGCCAAATCACTAAAACAGAGTCACTCTCCGTACATGGTAGTGAATTACGGCTTAATAGCAGCTAGCTTCTAAGCCTTCTCAGCCACACTCACACGCGCCGGCGCTCTTTACCTGTCTGAACCCATTTTCATCACTCTCTACACCTTTCATATTGTTGCTATGCCTCTGTCCAAGCGCGTCGACCGCCTCTACGGCGTGGGTGACGGCCGCACTGTCGTCCTCGCCGTCGACACGTGCAAGGGTTGCATATCCGCGTTTGAAGATCTCCTCGCTACAGGCTACAAGTCCACCTCGTTCCTCGGTACGCACGAGAATCCCGCCGCGCGGGGAGAGTTCCGCCTATCCCCCGCGGACCGCCTAATCGTCGTCTTTCACCGCGGGCATCACCTTCCTTCTCCGCTGCTGCTCCGCCGCTCGCGGAGCGACGTCGCCGCGCAGCACCAGCAGCTGCTAACAATGCTTCCGCCGCTCACTTCCCCTCATCTCCCACCGACCGCGCAGCCGTCCCCGCACCAAGCCTCCCCGCAAAAAACGACCGCGGCGATGTTCTCATTCCTTACAAGTCCCCGCACGCGGTCAGGCACGTCAAGCCAGCAGCATCAGCCGCACCAGAAGGCACAGGGCCAATGGCCGCGGTCTTTATCAGGTAGCCAGCAGCAACAGCAGCAGGAACGGCAGCACCAGCAGCAGGTGCAGAATCTGCATGCGCCGAATCACTGGCCCAGGTCGCGTTCAGAGGCGGGAGCAGGAGCAGCAGCAGGAACCGCAATGGCGGACGGAAATTCACCCCCCCCTGCTGTCGGTACGTTCTTCGCCTGAAACCCTTAGAAGTAGTTAAAAAATGAACATCCTCTAAAAGGAAACGCAATGGCGGACGCTAGTTCAGCCCTTTCCCGCCCCCTCCCCCCTCTCCGACGTTGGTACGTGCTTTCGTTGCTTTCGAGAATTCTCGAAATTGTCTTAAAAATGAAAATTCTCGAGAGGGACCGCAATGGCGGAGGGCAGCTCACCTGTCCCATGATGTCGGTACGTTCTTTCCTTGCCGTCTTGTGGGCTTCCTTGGTCATAGTGGTTAGTAATGCATGGGGGCCTCCCACTGACATCCTCTTTTTTAACGTCTCCGTTACAGATCACCCTGCGGCAGCACATAGCCAGCAGCTCGCCACGTCGACCGACAGCAAGGCTGACGTGGAAACCGTGGTTGTGGTCCCATCTACGCCTGCTAAAGAGGTGACTGCAAAGCTCGCTCGATTCCATGGGCGGACGAAAGCGGCAGCGCTGAAAATGGCCGCCATGGCTCGGTCTTACAGGGTACGTATGTGTGTATTGTGGAAGGTAGTGTGGAAGGTGTACCTTAAGTGCAGCAATGTAGCTTTAGCATGTTATGCCTGGCGCGATGAGTGAAACAATGTGCTGGCGAGGTTTAGGGGATCACCTTTCCCAAAGCAGATATGAAAAGTGTCGTCTGTCTGCAGATGTTGTGAACACTAGGATCTGACGCCTTCCCTGTCCATCCTTGCAGGTGCGTTTTGAGGCTATTGATCTGGATGACCTCCAAGGATCAGCTGCGCCTGAACTCAGCACCACATCGCCCCAAATGGTTTCCAATTTCAGCCCAAGTTTGAAAAACAGAGGAGCTGGGCCAGGCTGGGATCCACATTCCCAATTGTCCCAGCAACAAGCAGCTGTCCCTGCAGTCCGTCTACCACAACCACTCCCGCATACCTGGGAAGGCACAGCTCAGGCGATCCTTGCTTTCTGTACTAGGATGGGTGCGGATCACTTGCTTCTGCCTGCCTCGCATGTGTGCGGGTTGAACATTGGGGCTTGGTTCTCCTGCCGGGGCCTGACGACACACTGTGTGAGGAATTCTCCGTGTCCAGTTACGACGCTGGGCACCACCAACCGCACAACAGAGGGATTGCGGGTTCAAGTAGCATCCAGCTGATAGGCAGGAAATAAGTCGTGCTCTTTAGAGTTAGGTGTGGAAGGCAGGCTTTTGTGTGGAATGCTCGCTCGTGGTAGGAGCTGTGGGCTGCACATTGCCTTGCACACCTCGTGCACAAAAAGCTATGTAGAATCTTGCTAGATTGTACAGGCTAATGTCTTTGCTGTTTGATGTTTGCTTATTTCACATCAAGTGTGAAATCGAAGTCAATTTCAGAAAATCTATCGCTGCCTGGCTTTCTGTGCTAATAGCGGAGATATCTGACGGCAGTTGCGACGCGCAAACTAGCAGAAGCAGCCGGTCGTTACCCTGTGCTTGTATGTCATTGGGAGACAGAACCTCGGGAGTCACGACATTTCGGGAGATACAGCGAGTTTGACGACCAGGCCTTCAACCTGACGGTTTGGCGGACAAGTGAGGCAGCCAAGGAAGGAACGATGCCTCAGGATCTCCCGAGGCCTGGGAGGTAAAGGGGTTGGAAGATGGACGGTTGGATTGGACCATCAAAACTACCTGCAAGCTCCCAATCCCAGCGATGTTGCTGAAGTAGTTGGTGGTCCGTGGATGTTCCCAAGGAGGAGTTCGGCTGGCCTGGCTTCACCGCTAGACCTCGGAAAAGTTTTGCCATGGAGTCAACCAGGGTTATTTGATGTTTTGTTCACTCACTGGGATTGTGGCTCACTGCAGGGCAAGTCTGACGAGGTAGCAGGCTGGCCTAGGTTAGCTTAGCATAGCTAGGTCTTGTTTCGTGGTAGTAACCTCTGTGGTTTCCCATCTGACGGGTGATCCTCCTGTCCTTATTCTTTATCAAGGAAAGCCTACGGTGGAATCAGGAAGCACTCAGACAGGCCAGGCCATCAGCACAGCTGACCACCCAACAGCGGCACGTTAGTGCTCTTGTAGTACTCGTTCGCCTCCTCGTCGTCAATCTCAGTGCACAGACAATAAGCAACCATGAGGCGACGACATGAGTCCACCTGGGAGAAGCTGTTCCACTATCGCGGGGTCATCGTCGTCGTTTCCGTCCCAATCTTCCTCATTATCTTCATTATTCTATTTATGCCTCACGGGGAGCCTATCACGGACGACCGCGTCATCCATCACAGCGCAGCAGATGAAGTCAACAAGGCGGTGGCGAAAATGCAATCTGGAGGAGAGAACAAGTATGCCGTCATTATCGACGCCGGAAGCACTGGGAGCCGGATCCACGTGTACCAGTTCAACCCCAATCTCGAACTGATGGAGATCGGCGATGACTTGGAGTTGTTTGTTGCGGTACGTGTCTGCCCCTCTAACTTGCTCTAATTTAGAACATGGCTTCGAAGAACTAATAACATTTGCAGTTCAGGTTGTCACTGCCATGTTAGAATCAATGGGTCGATGGTCCAGATCTCGTCCTCCGAAGACGTCCTTTCCTGATCTTGGCAAAAAAATCGGTTCCTACTCCCTCCCTCGCAATGTCATCATGCGAACTTTAGGCATTGACGTTTCTATTTTCCTTATCATCTCTCCACTGACATATCGATACTCGTAACTTTTGTTGTCACCATCTGCGTTGCAGCTCAAGCCAGGTCTGAGCTCGTTCCGCGAAAACGCCAAAGGAGCGGCGGACTCGCTCCGTCCGCTTATCGACAAGGCGCTCACCGTCGTCCCTGAGGAAGTCCGCTCCACCACGCCCATCCGCGTCGGAGTGAGTCTCGTTATTGGAAATGCGGTACACCGCACAGTGTTGGCGTGACAATGCGAGCTCCGATTCTCCTGTACTATCTTTTGATATCGTGATCCGTTGTGCTCGAGCTTCGCTCTGAGATCTCAGGCCAGTCTGTCGTTTTGTCTTGCTGAGAATCACTGACATGCAAGCTGTTTCCCCTGTGCAGGCAACGGCTGGTCTGCGCCTTCTCCCTGGTGACCTCGCTGACAACATTCTCCAAGCCGTAAGCTTTTTTACGACCCGCCATTGGTTCTCGCTCATCTCCCTCCTTTACTGTTCAATTGCATCGAATCTCTTGACCATCGAAGCCCTAACAGTCCCAGCTGTTTGTTCCGTCTCTAGTCCTGAAGATTTCCTCCTCACGCGTCTGACTCGCCCTCTCGCCCTCTCAATATCTCGCTCTCCTCAGGTCCGGGAGATGCTCAAGGAGTACCCCTTCACCTTCGCTGCCGATTCCGTCAAGATCCTTGATGGCGCCGACGAGGGTTCCTTCGCGTGGGTGAGTGCCTGCCAGGGTTTTGTTCTTCACACACACAGGAAGATCGCTAGAAGCAGCCGCCTTCCCCTCCCTTGGTATGCGCGTCCTGATAGATTTGCTTGAATCCCGCTGTTGCATGAGAAGTTTGTGCTGGAGGCTGATTGTCAGTGCATGACCAGCTAAAACCCCTTGTCGGCCCAGGCTTTCGCTGTTCCCCGTCTAGCCTTTGCCTCGCCCCGACAATACCCTTCGCCAAAGTCCTAACCATATCTTCAAGCAACAGTAATCTCGCAATAAAACGCGGAGGTAAGTCCGAGCTACCTGTGTGTGTGCGGCCTTGGCGAGGACATCGGACATACGGGGGGTATGGCCTGGTTATTCTCAAAACGGGCCCGGCATCCTCCGTCTCTCACAACTTTCAATGCAGGTGGCGGTGAATTACCTCCTGGGCAGTCTCGGTAAGGACATGGCCCACATTCGTGTGGTGGATCTGGAAATTTGAAGTCTGCTTCACTATTCTCCCTCTCTTATCCATTCGCCCTGCAAGTGACGGTCAATTACCTCCTCGACAATCTCGGCAAGGACATCAGCCACATGGTGGGATGGGAGTGGTGGATCTGGAAATCTGAAGTCCCCTTCACTATCCCACGATACTCTCGCCCTGCAGGTAACTGTGAACTACCTCCTGGGCAATCTCGGCAAGGACATCAGCCACACAGTGGGGGTGGTGGATCTGGGCGGCGGGTCCGTGCAGATGACGTACGCGGTGCCTGATGACGTGGCAGCGAAGGCGCCCGAGGGTTACGTTCGGAGGCTGAGCGGAATGGGCAAGACGTACGGGGTTTACGTGCACAGGTGAGGGCAACGAGGATTTTACAGGATGGGCAAGTGTACAGAATATGTGTGCAAATAGGGGATTTGAATATGGCTGACAATGGGGTTCCAGAGGATTCAAAGGGTAGCTCAGGAGAAATCATGACAAAACGTATGGAGCCTACGGGAACATGTGGGGACAGAGATGGTCTTGCAAACGGTTGACTCACACAATCTACGCAGCCCCAAGAGTTGTGCTTTGTCGGGCTTGGCTAGCAAGTGTGGTAACCTGTGTGCGAATACAGCAGAACTGTGTGGTAATAAGCGTGCACGCCTCGAAACCGTGTTATTGGAAGAACTCAGTCGTCTACCCTTGTCTTCATGCATGCGCCGTCGTTGCATGTCCTGTCTGCCATCCCCTCCCCGTTTCTTAATTCCTCAATGAACCCCTAGTTATCTTGCCTTGGGTCTGATGGCAGCTCGAGCTCACGATTATTCTACATAAAGAGCTCAGTAGTTTTCTTTGTGGAGAACTTGCTTTTCTCCCCGTCAACCGTGCTCCATTGTCAAATCGAAGTTGCTGTGTGGCATGCCCTCCCCTTCCCTCAATGAACCCACACCTACCTGGGCTTTGGTCTGATGGCAGTGTTCGCTCAGGTGCTCAAGGCAGAGAACTTATGCCCTGTGGGATCCCCTTGTCTTCATCCGTGCTACTTCGTTGCATGTGCTGTGTGGCATCCCCTACCCTCATCCCTTGATGAACCCCCAGCTACCTGGGCTTCGGACTGATGGCAGCGCGCGCTCAGGTGCTCAAGGCGAAGCCACCAGGCAGCGAGGGACATGCATGCTTACCCAAGGGCACTGACGGTGAGTGGTGGGGAAGAGACAGAGAGGTGGTGGAGCAAAAACGCAAGCAAATAAGTGGGTGTGTGTGAGGGACATGCCCGCTCAATGGAAGTGACAGTAGTGGCGATGAGGGTTGAGGCAGAGAAGAGTGTGAGATCTATGCACATCAGGACGTGGCGTGCTACTCACTGGCGGCGTTGGTTAGTGGTGAGGCAGCGAGAGGATAATGGTTTTTCGTATGCAAGCATGAGTAGCGGGGGGCATGTGTGCCCCTGCCTAAAGATTGCGATGTCATATGCAAGCATGGGTAAGGAGGGAGGGGGGGGGGGGGGGGGAGGGGGGCAAAAAGTGATGTGTGCCCTGCTTTAGGCTAAAGATGATGCATGGTGAGCAGCACGGATCGTGAAGAGTATTTGTGTGATCTCCAGGGGGGGAATTGTGAAGAGTGCAATCAACGTGAATGAGAGGCATGCTCATGTGCCGAACAGCTCTGGCGTTGATTGGTGGGGCACAGCAGGAGGAAGGAGCGTCTTTGCAGCTGCAAGTGGTGTAAACACTTTGGCTGCATAAACCAAATTACGATTGGATGGGAGTACTAAGAGAGCGTGTATAGCCCCTTACCCTTCCAACCAAACCCTCCCATCAGACAAGTACGTGGACGGACGGCACAGAAAAGGTCAATGCTGTGGCTCTGTCAGCACGAGGGAGTGCCACAGAGTATGCAGAATCTGAGGTAGTATCCCCAGAAACACTTTCACCCCTCTTCCTTCCTCCCCTACCCACCAACACCACCCCACCCCCCTCAAACCCTCCCACCAGGCAAGTAGGTGTACGGCACAGAGGAAGTCAAGGCACGGGCGCTGCCTGTAGCAGGAAGTGCCAAGAGTGTGCTTGTATCCCTGGTAATGTCTCTGCTTGTATCCTCTCTAACACTTACACACCCCTCCTCCTCACCAACCCCAACCCCCCTTCCCTCAAACCCTCCCACCAGACAAGTACGTGTATGGCACAGAGGAGGTCCAGGCACATGCGCTGCCGACGGGAGGGAGTGCAGCGGAGTGTGCACTGATCGCAGCAAAGGCGTTGGAACTGGGAGGGGCCCTTGCTGGCGACCCTGCTCCGTCGTGCTCCTTCGAGGAGTGCACATTTGGAGGGGTGTGGAGTGGTGGTCGGGGTCAGGGCGCGTCGAAGCTCTTCATTGCGTCGTACTTCTTTGACCGGGCTGGCCAGGTAAGCTGCTGCTGGTGTCGCTGCTCCGTCGTGTTCCTTGGAATAGTGCATATTAATGGGGTGTGGAGTGGTGGTCGGGGTCAGGGTGCATCCAAGCTCTTCATTGCCTCGTACTTCTTTGACCAGGCTGGCCAGGTAAGCAACTCCTGGCCATGATGCTCCTGTGTGCTCCTTTGAGGAGTGCACGTTCGGAGGGGTGTGGGAGAGGGGGTCGGGGCGAGGGTGCTTCCAAGCTCTTCATTGCTTCATACTTCTTTGACCAGGTGGGTCAGGTAAGCTGCTGCAGGTGACGCTGCTGCTGCAAAGGGGATGCACTTAGGGTGCGTCAGATCCGCTACAATGTGATTTGGCTGCAAATTTGTCGCCCTTTTGGTCGACTATATTTTTCGCCAAAGTCGACCGAATGGTCGAATGGTAAACCGACCACCATCCAGCCACATTTTCAAGGTGTTGCAATCTGACAGATTTGGTGGCTCATTTACAGGCCGGTTTGCAAAAGTGTCAGATTTGCAGGTCGCACAGTTGGCCGGATTGTGCGACGGAGTCGCATGTATTGTTACTGAAGTGACACAACCCCGAAATGTGGTCTTGTTCAACGGCGCTGAAAGCGCCGCGCGCGTCGTCCTTGTGACACCTTGAGTCGCTTGGGTATGTTGGCCAAGTCGCATAGGTACTGTAGCGCTGACGAGTCGACAAAGTGGTCGACCCTCGATTCGTTTGCACGTCGGAAAGTTGTCGAATGCTAAACCGGCCATCAAATCGGCCATCAAATTTTTATCAGGTGGCCGGATTGTGCGAAGTTAACGAAATACCCTGCGAATGTCGTGAATGTGTAACCTTCGCTAGATCCGGCCGGCCGGATTTTTCCGACAACGGATCTGACGCACAATTAGCAGTTGTGGGCTCAATCCACTGTTCTCCGACTTTCCCACCAAGATTCCCCAACCTCTGATTCTCTGGGTTCCCTACTCCCCCCTGCATTCTCCCACTCCTCCCCTGCGTTCTCCCATTACCCTACTGTGTTCTCCCACTTTCCCCCTTCGCTCTCCCACTTCCCCCCTGCAGCTTGGCGTTATTCCCGACCCCAAGGCGTCATCAGCTCCTGTCAAGGCAAAGGACTTCGCAGCGGTAGCTGAGGCTGCCTGTGCTACACCCTTGGAGGAAGTCACAAAGAAGTTTCCTGCGGTGGAGGGCAAGGACGCTCCATACATGTGCCTGGACGTGGTGTACCAGCACAAGCTGCTCACCCATGGCTTCAGTAAGCATTCCTTATAACCTGTAATCATTTTATTTTGCATTTGTCATTTGCTGCTTTATTCTTCTGCTTTTGCTCCTCGTGTGGTGTCTGTGACAAACACGTGATCCTAAATTGGCTCTCTTCGTCCTCCACTGTTTTTTCAGGAATTGATGATGCAGCAGAACTTACGCTGGTGAAGCAGGTCACGTACAAAGGCAAGGATGTCGAGGCAGCTTGGCCACTTGGTGCTGCCATTGATGCTATTTCGTCTTAGAGTAGCATTTGGATCATTGTAATATGTACTGAGTGCTGGAAAATGCTGTATTGAATTCTGGACGAAAGCACCTTCAGCTCCCATTCTGAACTAGGTAGAGTTCAGCAGTAAGGTTCATGGTGTAATTCTTAAGTTTTGTAACAAGTTTCATTAGTGGTACCTACGGTCAAAGTTTTAGACCTAGGTACTCAGTGTCAGGGGTGGATAACTAATGCTGTGGTCAGCTTTTGAAACTGCCAGCTAATCCTTCTGCTGAGTGAGCACACCGACCAAAAAGCGTCAATATCGCTTTGCACTTTGTCATCAACCACGTGGAATTCGCAAATCTTTTCAGTGAACAGATGGAAAGCGTCAGTTATTTGCTGTAATGTCTGCCGTGCTGTCGTAAGATCCTCTCACTTGCATTACCACTAGTGTCCCAGCCTCTAGGGAAACCCGCCTACGTGGACTCGCTTGACACCCGTCGAAGCTTCAGAGTCCTTTCTAATGCCCACAAATTTCGACAGACCGTCCAAGGATAACGTTAAGTCCGGGTCAAAGAGGATAGAACTCTGCTTTGCTTGTGTGGCTCAGAGCTCATCACCTCGCATGAGGACCTGCTTTGTCGTCGTGTAATCTGCTGCGATTGTTTGGGTCTTTTTGGAGCCCCATGTTGCTGCGACCTACTGTATGTGGAGCGCGAAAGCGACTTGTTCATACCTCGACGCATGGTGTGAAAGCCCGCTGCTTGCGCCGAAATTACAGGTGGACTTTTCTCATTTGCTATTTCTCACGCGGGGGAGAGTGCGCTGACCTGTCATCTACTGCTGGAGGGCTTCTACAGTTACACGCTGGAATTTCCTATCTCCTGCGTTGGGCAGAGGGGCTAGGCAGCAGTGCTTGTGCAGACTGCAGGTGAAGCCAAATTTGACACTGAAATCCTGGCACAACATTTGTACTGTACTTATTTTTACGCCCCAGTCGTGCAACACTGTATCAACTCGTCGACTTTCTGACTGTAATTCCCAGAATTTCAAATGTGACACTTTCACTCCAGAATTTCAAAATGCCCGGCTTCAGGAGTTTTGGGGAACCAAACTGCTCAGCAAGACTATTCTTCGCAAACCCGACCGAGTCCACAACACGCTTTTACGAACCGCTTTTGCGTGTGCCGTGGTACCCTGTGATAGGTCCACGCGGTCGGCCATACGACAGCGACGCGAAATGCCTCGCTTTTATCGCATGAACGAGCCTCCTCCCCAGCCTCCCCTTCCAAGCGAAACGCCCTCGCTCCAACCACGAAAATGCCCCTACTCGCTGTGATGTCACGTCACATTCCATCGCTCCTTGCCGTAGTTAAGGCCTAGTCTTGAGGTCGGTTAGGTGAAAGTTGTCGTCATCCACTGGCTCTCGTCTAAATCTGGCTCCGAATCAAAAGCATTGGCACTTTGTTGTTAGTCTTTCACCACGGAAGTTTAGCGCCATCTAGCATTCTTTCCTCCAGTCTTCATTCCGAAAAGGCATTTTATCTTCGAGCAGGGCTTTCTGCTGCTCTTTGTCGTGAGGCATTTCTCCGCGCTGCAGTTGTAAACTCTTATTTTTCCAGACACTTTGAAGAGGCATCGTACACTGCAAAATATATATTAATGCCGAATGCTTCCCTTTCAATTCCTATCAAAATGGAGACTCCTGATGCCGCAGCGGAGAACCAAGCATCAGCTAAAAACAGTAATGGTGCTACTGGCGGGACTCGGCGCACTTGTGATGTGCTAGAGCCTTCCTTGTCGGCTTCCGGCAATGCGTCCAAGCGGCTACGACACTCTTACACGCAGAGTGCAAACCCAGCCCCAAAGCTTCTTCCTGCTGAATCTACGGAATTGGCTCAAGTTCGTCCGAACACCGTTACGGCAGAAACGCCTTCATTAATAAGCTCTAATCTTCATGTGCCTCCAGTCTTCCCGGAGCTTCAACGACGGCTCGAAGAATCATTCGATCTGGATTCCGACATTCTAGGCGCCGGTCAATTTGGCACGGTTCGACGGTGCGTTTGCAGGGAGACGGGTCAAGCTTTCGCGTGCAAGACGATTCCCAAGTCGCGTCTTCTCGACCAATTCGTGAGACATGAGGTGAAGATGGAGGTGCTGCTCATGCAACATCGGTTGAATCGGCTTCTTTCTTCGCTGGGCCCCAACGCACCCTCAGCGGGCAACACGAGCGCTACTGTTTGCGATGATAAATTCTTGGCGAGCGCCGCGCGACCAACTGAAGACCCGCCGATGCGCGTGGTGCATTCGTCGCCCAATGCTGCAGCAACCAGAGCAGCGACACATCCGGCGATAGTGCAGCTCCATTGGGTCTTCGAGGACGATGTGGGAGTTCATCTCGTCATGGATTTTTGCGACTCTGGCGACCTGTACGACGAAGTTGTGCGACGGGGAAGGCTACCCGAAAAGGAATCGGCGCTTCTGTTCCGACAAATCGCCTCAGCTCTCGCGTTTTGCCACTCAAGGGGTGTGATGCATCGCGACATGAAACCAGAAAATATCCTGCTCCATAAGCAAGGAGACGCTTCTAACCGGTTAACCGTGAAACTTGCTGATTTTGGACTCGCGATTCCGCTTTTAGCCGGCGAAACTACTCGAGGAATCTCGGGTTCGACGTTTTACATGGCGCCTGAGGTGCTCTCCGGGGAGTACGGGCATTCTGCCGATGTGTGGTCGCTTGGAGTTCTCCTCTTCACAATGCTAAGTGGTGCCGTTCCTTTTCTCGGGGATGACAATAGTGACTCCACAGAGGCCGTCTTGAATGGACGTCTGGATTTTTCCTCGCCGGAATGGGCGACAATCTCAGTCGAAGCGAAAGGGCTGATTCGTTGCATGCTGCATCGAGATCCTCGGCGACGTCCGACCGCTGCGAAAGTCTTATCCCATCCGTGGGTGCTGCTGAACGTTTTTGGCGGGAGAATTGTTCGGAGAACCGTTGCTCGTCCCCTTGAAAATGCCGCCGATTCTCGGGAGAACAAGCCCAATGTAGACGCACGAGGCCTGCAACAACAACACTTCCTGCCACGAGGAATGCAAGGACGTGTTTCTTTAGCACAACTGCAGCAGCAGCCTGCAGTGGCAGTTCTTGGGGATAGCTTGTGCCTTGACCAAGAGCAGCAGCGCACAACCCAAGATGCTTGCCAGGGGCATCTTCATGCGCTTGTAGCTATGGTCCAGCCTGGGGATTTTGTGAGAACCTCTGCCTGATGATATACATGTATTGTTCAATGGTTTTACTAGTTCTGTGTACATGTTACTAACGTATATAAAACTCCTGTTAATCAGCAACAGGCCCGAAATCTCATTTGGCTCCTCCCTTGTGGCAAGGTAAGCCTGCTATATTACTCTTATCCTTGGTTTAGTGTAAGTACCTTAGGAAAGTGTACATGATCTGGATCATAGATGCACACCACTAAAGAAGACACGTAAGGGAATTAGGATACTTTGATTTTTTGTTTTCAAAGGTCATGCCTGGCTCATATGGTTTACATGGGAATGATGTATAACCTGCATATACGCCGGAGAGTATACGGGAAATCTTTGAACCCGTCGTGTACGATTCAGTTTAATACGTCAAATTTGGCGTTCGGTTCGTGAGAAGACCAATAAATATCAGAACTTGAAGTCGCTGTGGAGATCTCCTCGGACACGTGAGCACAACCGTCCCAGATGTCTGCTAAATACCGAAACTTTTTCGTTGGTCCCAGCTTCTTTGGAATATGTTCTCTCTGATTAGTTCGCTTGGTCGCGGTTTGCTTTCCGCCACCACTCTTGTGCAGACCGCCAGTTCGTATCACGCGGCCCGTTTCCAAAGCTTCGATCTTGGACGGTCAGGAGATGGGCAGCTCATGCAGATTTGGCGGAAGATCCTTGGTAGCATGAGCTCATAATTGCGAGTGCACCAATAGAGCGGAAAATCTATGCGCTGGCACTGGACTTGTTATTATATCGAGGGAACAAGGGGCAGACGCGTTAACTGTGGCCACACATGCCAGCCAGCAAATTTTGGCAGACTGTTTGGGTGGTTTTGGTGTTCAAACATTTGCTTCTGCCCCGGGTTGGTCCTTGTCCCTGCAACGCACCCAACACCGTCCAATGAGATCTTCTTGAGGCTTCGCAAGGGGGCCTCGCCCCTCCTCGCTTCCTTCCCCTTCCCTTCATAACTTCGCAAAGATCCCCCTGTCATTTCTTTCCCCGCGCATGGACCCCTTTCGTTTCCGCTGGTTGCATTGCATGTCTCCTCCTCCCCCCTTCAGTTTCCGCCTCGAACTTCCCCCATACCGCCCCCTCCGCCTCACCGTACTTCCATCCTCCCCATGCCCTCCACCTTCAAGCCCATTGGCGTTTGATGGTCTTGCCAGTTCCCATCTGAGCCGTTCATCCTCATCCATCAGGATCCACGCAAGCGTTCTAATCCCCATGCCCCGAGTATTTCTTTGTATCAAGCTCCACAACTTTTATTACCTCGCCACATCTCAGCAGTTGTCATTGCCCTCAAGGTCTTCAATGCTTCATAGGCTTTTTCTACTAGCGCCTTGAGCAGGACGAAGGCTCTCAGGTGCATCACTCTCAGCAATTGAAATCAAGTCTACCACTCTGAGCTCTTCCTGATAAGCGCGTGTCTCCACCACAGTTTCTGTTTTGACGCACGACACCATGTCTAAGCCTGTCGCCATGGGCAGCCTTCGCGCTGCCAGTCGCGACAGCATGTCTTCCACGTCCTTCTTATCTCACCTAAAGCTCCGGCCTTCAACTTACCGCGGCTCGACTTCCGTATCTTTCCGCGTTGGTCCACCAATCCGCGCGGTTCTGGACAAACCTTCGAGCAACACCAGTGGTGGAAGCAGCGGCAGCACCAGCGACAGTGGCAGCGGGAGCCGCTTCACCCGAAGAGGTACCGGCCAAGATTCACTGGACATCGCTCGCGCCGCATTGGAACGTCTATTCTCGCAGAACTACCGCCAAGATCACAAGACC